ATTTGGTGTTAGATTATATCGTGATTCCTTTATACCATGTAACCCAGAATATCAAGGCAGGAAATCCCACAATATCTGCTGTGAAGTGGAATACATGGCAGTGTGAACTCAGATAACCCAGTTCAAAGCAAATATTGTGGAATTTCCTGCCTTGATATTCTGGGTTACATGGTATAAAGGAATCACGATATAATCTAACACCAAATATCAATATATATATCACACCACTGCCACCACTGTAGAGGATTATATGTAATATCACACCACTGGACACCAGTAAGAAGGAAAATATCATAACCAGTGACGTGAGGCTGGAGGCTTATTGATAATATGTCTGGGCAGGATGGTTCTTCCCCCAAAGATTCAATTTTTCCTTAAAAATCCTAGCCTTGTGCCTCCAATTTGGTAGCAAGATGTAGATAGATGTGTGTAATGATAGAGTGAACACTGCTTGTCTTTTGGTCTTCTTTTGGTTTAAAGCTGCCACCAACCCAAGCTGTCTTAGGATTTTCAAAATGAATTTTTGAGGTAATCTTTTCCTACTTCTGCCAACACTGCTCTTCCCCTTGCTCCCAGAATGACTATTTGGATAAGCGACCTTCCTGTGGTATCAGGATGTTAAAGATGCTGGAATTAACACAAAGGATTAATGATAGATTGAGGAATGAAACTTTCTTTTGAAAGTTAAATAGAAAAAGATTTATTTATAAGAATATTTATTTATTTATTTATTTCTATACTTGTATACCGCTGTTTCTCAGCCTAACTGGCGACTCAACGCGGTTTACAACAAAATACAACAATCAACAGTATTCAATTTAAAACCATAAAAACATCATACACAATACACAATATTGGCCCATCAATAACAATCCAATGCATCTCCTGACTAAAATCGTGATCCAGTTTCGTCGTCCATATTACCAATCCTTTAATCATCAAATTCATTGCACCGAATTAACCAAATGCCTGTTCGAACATCCAGGTTTTTAATCTTTTTCGGAACACCATCAGCAAGGGGGCTGATCTTACCTCCATGGGAAGGGCGTTCCATAGCCGAGGGGCCACCACAGAAAAGGCCCTGTCTCTCGTCCCCACCAGCCGCACCTGTGAAGCAGGCGGGATAGAGAGCAGGGCCTCCCCAGAAGATCTTAGGGTCCTGGTGGGCTGATAGGCCGAGATACGTTCGGATAGGTACAGATAAGAACAGACAACTAACTACTTCTGAGAGGTACTAAACACTTGACTTGTTACAAAAGTACTATTGCTTGATGGTTGCTAGAATAAGTTTCTTCACTTAGTTACATACAGAGCTAATCAAACAGATCTAGCTGCTAGTAACAAAAATCCCTCACTCTACTTCAGAGAAATAGTAATGAGTTTCTGACTAACCTATCCTAGGTAGTCCCGAGTTATCAGCTAACTCTTCCCAGAGTTCGTTCTGCTAACTAACTCAGTCTAGAGAGCCAATCTCTTGTGCTATCTCCCACACAAGAAATCAGGTTGCTGTCTGGCCTTTCTCCTGTCAGCTAATCAACCCTGACTGGCACAGACACTCTCTCCCTGAAAACCTAGTTTCAAAAACACTTCTTCTCCCACCAGCTCCCAGTTCTCCTCAGAAGCTGAAATCTTTTCCCTTCTAAGACTTGACTCCTCCCAACTCTTCTCTAGCCAATCCCAGGAGACCTCAAACTCCTCCCATCTTCTAGCTATCCTCACTCAAGATGGCTGCTTCCCTGGCCTAGACTCCCAAAATGGAGGATTGCCATACTGTTATCCAGGCTTCCTTTCCGGCCTACTAGGTAAGTTTCACTACACATGGCTATGTGGAAGGACCCAGAGAATCCAGCACTCATTGTCTTTGCACCCAGGACCTGGTATCTGCATAATCCTATCATTCATCTTTTCGGACTCTCTTTATCTTCAGCATTCAATTGCTACATATCCAGGAGTTGGCACAGCTCCCGGAGGCCTCTCTGCCCTAGGGACCCCCTTCCTTGGCTCATTGGAAGTTCCAGTGCTTCCCTAGCTAGCTGGGAGGAGATCCCGGTTCGCATCATTGCTACCTCGCCAATCAGGGCACACATCTGCTAAGACCCGCCTCCCAGCCAATTAGAGATCTGAGAAATGCTGGCCAGCTTTTTGGCATGGGCCAATCAGGAAGATGAGAGGGAATTTAGAACCGTAGCAAAGTTAATTTATGAAAAGTTATATGTATTAAAATTCCTGCTTTTTCATATGCTTTGTGCTTGTACTTTTTGAGCACTCGTTGCTGTACTAGTATCCCATCTGCTCAGACTGAATAAACACTTCTGTCATTTGCCTTCAACCTGGTGAGAGTTCCGATTCCTGGCTCGAAACATTTGCGGTTAGAGAAGCTTGCCAGGCATCCCTTGGTATCTGCAGGTCCTTGAAAAATATCAAATTTCCAACATCACCTTCTACTTCGGACTCTGCTTTGAACTAGATTATATGGCAGTGTAGACACAGGCCCCCTTTAATACAACCCAGATTATCACATAAAATAATCCACATTATCTGTTTTGAATGGCATTATATGAGTTTACACTGCCATATAATCCAGTTCAAAGCAAATAATCTAGACTTCATATGGCTGTGTAGAAGGGGCCCCAGTCAAGCCTTTAGTTATTATTGTGTAGTAGGTCCTTAACATTTACTGATGTTAGAAGTGTAGAGCTCCTGCTAAAGTGGGGAAAATGCTAATTATAGCACACCCCATTTTTTTTTTACCAGAGAAAACACCTGTCTTGGAATCTCTTAAATCGTTCAGCGCAGCTGGAGGGCCAGCTTCTCCCAACAGTTGACCATGGAATTGCCATGGAGGACCTACAAAAGGAGTGAGGAATCTCATTCTCTGGTCTTCCAATGTGCCTTTGAATAATGGTTCAGCTACTGATTAATTCTGCATAGCTCTAATCTTTTGGTTGGATCTCCAGCACTATTTCCTGCCCCCGCCCTACAGTTAGCATTTGCACAAGCCCTTGTCCTGCCCTATTAGTCTCAAATCTGCATATGCCCACATTTTTCAGCTACTGGTTGTTTGATGTTTGGTTTATGTTTTATGATGGCCTACATTTTATTGGTTTTACTGTTTTAATATATATTTAACTGTTATATTGAAATTATAAATATTGTTATATTTACTGTTAATGTAATAGTGAAATTATAAATAAATATTTTTGTAAATATTGTTATATTTACTGTTATATTTTTATTGTTATATGGTTATGTTGTTTTTAATTGTGTCACTTGTAACCTTTGTTTACATTGGGCTTGATCCCCATGTAAGCTTCCCCAAGTCCTTTTGGGGAGATGGAGGCAGAATATAAGAATAAAGTTATTATTATTATTTGAAACACAACAAGATTAGTACAAGCAAACTGTTGGCTGTTGTATTGGATCACTCATCAGACACTTCCCAAGCATTTAGGACTGTGTGGTGTATCGGTGAATAATGCATGCAGATCCTAGTAGGGTGGCCTTTTGCAGCTGACAGTTGGTAATTTTGTCAGCACTGATTGTGTTTAAGTGCAGGCCAAGGCACTGCACCCATTGTGCCGATCACCACTGGGACCACCTTTACTGGATTGTGCCAGAGTCTTTGAAGCTCCATCCTCGTATCGCCTGGGGTTGCAACATCAACAGTCCATACTTTGTTTTTTAACATTATTGTGAGGCCAGGAGTATTGTGTTTATTATTATTATTATTATTATTATTATTATTATTATTATTATTTTACTGACACAAAAGCACAGTATGTCACAGCAAATGAGATCTATATGCTGGATTTCGTATCACAAAATCACAAGTCGAACACTTCCCAAGCATCTAGGACTGTGTGATGTATTTTCGAATGATGTGAGATCCAAGTAAGGTGGCCTTTTGCAGTTGACAGATCGTGATTTTGTCGATGTTTATTGTTTCCAAATGCCGGCTGAGATCTTTTGGCACGGCACCCAGTGCGCCAATGACCACTGGGACCACCTGTACTGGTTTATGCCAGAGCCTTTGCAGTTCGATTTTGAGGTCTTGATAGCGGCTGAGTTTTTCCTGTTGTTGAAGGCTTTCGGGCTATATGGCCATGGTCTAGAGGCATTCTCTCCTGACGTTTCTCCTGCATCTATGGCAAGCATCCTCAGAGGTAGTGAGGTCTGTTGGAACTAGGAAAAAGGGTTTATATATCTGTGGAATGACCAGGGTGGGACAAAGGACTTTCCTGTTGTTTTTCCTCAATGTGACTGTCACCTGGTATGGCGATATCAATAATCCAAACTTTTTTCTTTTCCACAGTTGTGATGTCTTGCGTATTGTGTTCCAAAACTTGTCAGTCTGGATTTGAAAGTATTTTTGCGTGTTAATTATTATTAACACATAATAATAATAATAATAATAATAATAATAATAATAATAATAAATAAACCTACAACAACCCATTATTATTACTATTTGAGACACAACAAGTTTAGTACACAGCAAACAAGATCACTATGCTGGCTGTTGTATTATTATTCCAGTGGAAATGGGAAAAGGAGCACACCGCGGATAGTGGGGTGAATGTAATCCGCGGATACGCAGGGGCCCGCTCCCAATTGCCTTATTATTATTACTATTATGAACAGAAGGGATGAACAGACGCTGCTGGCAGGAATCCCCCACCGCTCGCGCATGCGCACTGGGAACTGCTCAAAGCTAAACGACTCTCTCCACCGCTCCCCTCTGCGCGCGCTCGCCTTCTTGTTTTCGCTTTGCTCGCGCGCGCGCTCTCTCCCGCCGCCATTTTGGCCCCGGGGCGGGGGCTTGGGAGGACGGCCCCGCCTCTGCGTTGAGCTCATAGGCCGCGGGTGGAGCCTCACGCCCGTGGCTCCCGTGGACGGAGATGCTGGTCCCGTTGCTGCAGCCCCCTTGAGGGCGAGGAGGGCAGGTAAGCCCCTCGGGGAGTCCCCTTCGCGTCGCCTGGGGGGGTGGAAATAGGACTCCAGTGCCTGAAACGAAGTCGGGAAAGACACCCTTCAGTCCTGCAGCGTCTGAAGCCCCTGCTTCGTAGGTCTGAGTGGGGACAGATCCGTGTGTGCCTGTGCCTTCCAGCTGCCTGATTTGGACCTCTGCCTCTGGGGCTGCGCATGTGTCACATGACGAAAGATCTTCACGTGCGACTCTCTCACCCGGGCCCTTCACTCTCTGGTATTTGAAAGTATGGCTGTACTGAAGGGATAGGGAAACACTGCTTTACCTAACTCGAAAAAGGTGGCACGGGTTGTTGTAGATTTTTTCGGGTTATATGGCCATGTTCTAGAGGCAGTCTCTCCTGACGTTAAGCCTGCATCTATGGCGAGACCTCACTACTCTGAGGATGCTTGCCATAGATGCAGGCGAAACATCAGGAGAGAATGCCTCTAGAACATGGCCATATAGCCCGAAAAAACCTACAGCAACCCAGTGATTCCGGCCATGAAAGCCTTCGACAATACAAGGTGGCACGTATTTGAATATCCTCCCTCTATATCAGATATAGCCACCTCTACTTGGGTAGGAAATGTTGGGTTTGTCAGCGTTGCCTTTGGGTTTGGAAGGTAAGCGACCAAGACTGCATCTGTACTGAAGGACTAATGCGGTTTGGTACTACTTCAAACGCCCTGGCTCCTGCTATGAGATCCTGGGAGTTGTAGGTTGGGGAGGCACCCTTTGGCAGAGAAGGCTAAGCACCTTGTAAAACTATGACTCTCGGGATTCCATAGCTTCTAGTCATGGCAGTCAAAGTGGCTAAAACAGGCCTGGGCAAACTTTGCTCCTCCAGGTGTTTTGGACTTTAACTCTCACAATTCCTAACAGCAGGTAGGCTGTTAGGAATTGTGGGAGTTGAAGTCCAAAACACCTGGAGGAGCAAAGTTTGCCCAGGCCTGGGCTAGAATGCACCCAATATCACTTTAGGAGTAAATTGGCTCAAATTCTCCCTGTGTTTTCAAGCCAACATATGGTGACTCCATGGATTTCACTACTATTTCGATGAAGTGCTCATATACCTCAAGGACTGGGGTGGCTGATACGATATTGTCATCGAACATGTCTGAGAATTTAGATCAGTGGTTTTCAATGTTTCTAATGCTGTGACCCCTTAATTAAGTTCCCTATGTTGTGGTGACCCCCAACCATAACATTATTCTCGTTGCGACTTCATAACTGTAATTTTGCTACTGTTATGAATTGTAATGTATATATCTTGATATGCAGGATGTATTTTCATTGTTACAAATTGAACATAATTAAACCATAGAGGCGAGCGGCGAAGGCTTCCTGGATGGCCTTGGGCATGCGGGGAGCCTTGCGCTCGCCCCTTGCCCCTTCCAAGCCCAGTGGGGGTGAGAGGTGAGCGGCGGGGAGCCTCCTGCTCAACCCTCACCCCTTCTGAGCTCAACAGGGGGTGAGTGGCAAACGGCGTGCTTTCCCCCACGTGTACCTTTGCCTCCAAGCTCCTCCTCCTGACTCACTGCAGCCCTGTGGGAAGAGGAGGAGGAGCCAACAGGAGTGCCTGGCTGTTTGGCTCGCACAGTGGCTGGCAGCCATTTTTGAGAGGCAGAGGGGGCGGGATCAACCGAGGCGGCTTTGCGACCCCCGGGAAATGGCCCAGCGACCCCTTGGAGGTCGTGACCCCCAGGTTGAGAACCGCTGATTTAGACCAGTGTGCCTTTCTGAAGTTGTATCTTCATTTACATCGAACTTCCTGAGGCCTTATAGTTGGGAACAATTGGCATACTATCGACCAATGCTGTGTGTTTGGTATTAGTGGTCCTACTGATTGAGTGAATTGCAGCACAATTCTGCCATTCACAAATAGGAAGTCTGGATTATATCCTCAGTGCCATCTCCCACTGTTGTAGGATGGTGGAGGAATCTGGAGGAAAGTAAGAGTCATAGCCATTTTGAAACCAGCCAAAGAACACAATGATCCAAAAAGCTATAGACCAGTCTCCTTGCTGTGCCATCTTTACAAAGTTCTGGATAGACGTACTTTGCATAGAATTATGGAAGAAATAGACCCATGTATGATTCCGCAGCAAGCTGGTTTTAGGGCAGAGGTATCATTTTCACTGAGGGCCATATCAGCCTTATGCTTGCCTTCAAAGGGCCATTTGTAATTGGAAGATTTTATAAACCAGGCAAACTTAAGCCTTCCAGTTTGATTTTGGACTCCAACTTCCACAATTCCTAACAGCCCAGTAGGCTGTTAGGAATTGTGGGAATTGAAATCCAAAACACTTGGATGGCTGAAGTTTGCCCAGGCAGGGTATAAACGATGTTGCCCCGGCATTGAAAGCCTCGGAGACCATATAAAATGACATGATGGGCTGCATTTGGCCCACTGGTCTTGAGTTTCACATGTGTGCTTTTGAGTATTTACACCCTTGTTTCATATACTGAATGCTTACAGAACCTAGCGTGTGCATGTACCTTCATATAAATATAATTGACTTTGTGTGTTCCTGGCCAGCAAACATAAAAGTGAATTGTGACAGCATATAATTGTGTATGAAATCTCTGCTTTCCAAGTTGCCTGTTGATTTATGGTGAACTCATTAATTTCTTTGGATTTTCTTAGACAAGGATTGCTCAGAGGCAGTTTTGCCAATTTCTTCTATTAGAAATACAGCCTGCAACACTTGATATTCATCAGGCTGTCTCCCATCCAAATACCAACCAGGGCTGGCCCTGCTTAGTTTCTATGACAGACAGGAGCTGGTGCCTTTATGGTATCTAGACCTCTGCATTGTGTATTGGGTGGTTACAGGATGGTGGCTCTGTTTGTGTGTGTATGTCATATTGGTATGTGTGTTTTCAAGTCACTTGTCAACTTATGGCAACCATTAATTTCATAGAGTTTTCCTAGGCAAGGAATACTCAGAGGTGGTTTTGCCAGTTCTTTCCTCAGAAATGTAGCCTATAACACCTAATATTTATTTGTGCTATCCCATCCAAAAACTATCCAGGACTAATCCTGCTTAGCTTCTAGGATCACATGAGATCTGGTGCCTTTAGAGTATTGAGAGACATGCTCAAACTCTCTACAAATATATTCTCCCCCATCCTTTGTACACAGCATCACATTGGCTATGGTAGGTTTTTTAAGGAGGTGTGAGGATTCCTGGTGAAGTTTGCCAATGGGCAAGTGGCCGGGGGGGGGGGGGGGTTTGAGGTGATTTCTGCTTATGAGATGATTTCTGCTTGAAAGCACAGTCCCTGCCCGATTGAGTGTTTTGCATGTTCTGTCTCTTCATGCGTTGCAAACTGGATCAGAGAAATCCTTTTTTAACCTTGGTTGAACACTGTTTGTCTTCAAATCAATTTATGTACAGAACTCAGCTTGATGATAAGAAAGGAGTCTTAAAATAAGCATTCATAAGAAGGTGTCACTACTAGAGAGGGTGTTAGTTATTTTGAGATAAGTTCCAGTGAAATTGAGATTTGGGGCAGGGGCCATAAAAGGCAGAACTTAGGACAAGGGAAAGACAAAGTGGAAACTAAGTACTGCTGCCTCCTATTGAGATCCTGTTTAAATCCCCTTGATTTTTTTAATGAAATCTAAATGCTTACCCTCTTCTAGGTTGCATTGCTAACTTGAAGTAAGTTTCCTTTAAAGTCTGTTACCTGGAGCTGCAGTGATTGACTAGTTAGTTAATGTTTAAATTCTTTAAAATACTTGTGCTTATTTTGTTGCATACATGCCCCATTTGTAAAAAAAATGATGTCATGTTTTTCTTTAAAACTTCTGTTTTCTTGCTGCTGTGGATTTAGTAAAGTAAAGCTGAAGTGTTGTAATTGGACAATAGCCTTACAGCTAAATGTATTTAGGAGTTGGTATTACACTATTGTTAAATTGTGTATATTTTTAAAGAATTTTCTAATGCATCATGATTTTTGTGAGATTGTTGCATGCCTGATAATGCAGAAGATTAGTGAGACATGCCACCATATGGCTCATCTGTAATCGTGAAGTTACTACAATAAATAGAGAGTTGTAGAGCAATGGACCCGTCAACTGCTTTGAATGTATCCTGCGTCAGTTGAGACAATCCACATGAACTGCATAGGAGAGAGGTAGGACTTTGAATAGAAGTCTGTTGCCTCTTTACTTTTGACCTTTTACTAATATGGACAATAATAGATCCAGTGTTAAGTAACGTTTTTAATGACCTTTATGTTAGGAGAACAACAAAAAAGAAAATTGTTAGTAGAGGTTATATTTGTGCCAAGAATAACAGACCTGTGGCTGCTATGGAACATTTATGCTGTATGCAAGGAAATACAGCAAACCCTACCCACTGATGTTCTGTTCCAGGACCATTCTGGATAGCAGAATTGGTAGTCTCATGGTATAGTGAAGTGGCATCTCTTATGTTAAATGACAAAATCACAGCTTTCTGGAAATTTATTTTGAGTATTTTCAAACTATGGATACAGAATCCATGGATATATACACCTGACTGTATTTCTTCATTTCAGCTTCTCTCAATTTGCTATCCTCTAGATCAGGCATTGGCAAACTTCGACCTTCCAGGTGCCTAGATGGATTGGTTTCCAACTCCCACTGGTCTAATAGGGCCACCAATTTGATTAAGGTTGCTTTGTTACTTCACTATATTCTGCTCTTCTCCTCAAAGAGCTTGGTATGTAAAATATGATCCTTCTTGTCTTTCCAATATTTTGCTTTGAATGAAGCCTCTGGCCCAAACTACAGTCCTATCTCAATAGCCAACTAGAGTGTCCAAAACATCTGGTAGACCCTGGGTTGCCAGTCCCTGTACTATGTTTCATCAGTTGTGATGTTATACTGGTTGCTTCAGGACTAGTGGACGTGATTTTCTTTTTAAGTAAAAAGAAGAGCATGTGGGCCATAGTATTGAACTGATTATTAAACTGATATACAGTTGTTGAGCCAGAAGAAAAGGGAGGTTTCTAAATTGATGAATCGATCATCTGCTTTGTAACGAAGTGTGGGATGTTTACATGGCGTTTGTATTTGTAAGAAGATTAAAAGCTTTCATGGCTAAGGTGCACGCATTATCTGCTACTCTCGTAGATGTCTTCCTGTGAACTGCATTTATATAAATCTTACAAGAGGTCAAAAGATCATGATCTCTCTCACCCTGGAAGAAATTCTGTAATTCAGTGCTGCAAGTCACATAATATGTGTCATTTTAAAAATGTGATTGAGATAGTGAGTTTGACTTAAGATGCTATAAACCAGGGGTCCCCAAACTACGGCCCGTGGGCCGTATGCGGCCCGCCGAGGGCATTTCTCCGGCCCGCCTGGCCTGGCCACGCCCACCCGGCGCCGCTCCGCTAATTGCGGACACTTCCTTCTTCTCTCTATCTCCCGGCTGCTGTCTCTTTAAATCTCCACATCGACTGAGGCGCCTTTCCCTCATGGAGACCAACGCCGAGGGGTGTGTTCACCTTCCTTCCTCCCTTCCTTCTCCTCTCTATCTCCCGGCCGCTGTCTCTTTAAATCTCCACACCGCCTCTTCTCCCCTCTATGAAGAAAGGCACCGTCCAATTCAGCACAGGCTCCAATACCCGGCGCGGACCAATTCTTCTCAGGAAGAGGGGTGTCTCTATGTGTCCAAAACCCCCTCCGCGCTGAATGGTACCGTCCTCCTCAGCTCAGGCTCACATACGTGGGACCAACCAATTCACCCCAGGAATAAGGGAGTATGGATAAGGAAGAAAAAGACCCCCTCTGCTTAAACTCTGCTAGTGTGATTCTAGGGATGTATGTTAAACCAACAAAAAATCTGCTGTAGCATAGAAACTTTTTAATAGCTGAAAAAATATTTTAAAATGTATATTCTACCTTTTCACCAGAAAATTTACAAGACAATTATCAAGTTAAATATGAAGAAGACTATCAGATGAAATTTCTCTCAGTGGAATATAATTTTGTCCTGTAATAGGCTGCCCATTCACAACATTATATTTTATAGTTTGCAGTTCCTTAGATCTTTACTGTGATTTTTTAAATTGTCTCTCTTGTGCTTTTGGTAATGTTTTCTAGGTGTTCGTGCATCAACAGTAAAAGCCATAAATATTTAAATTATAGGTTTGAAATGAGACATGATTGCATTAAGTAATTATAACAACATTTTGTGGTATTGTCTTCTGGTGCTTTGATGACTTAGGTATGCTGGTTTACCTCCCTTCTTGTCCCCTTTTTGATTCATCGCCCTTTCTGAAATAGCACTTGCTCTTGTCACTGCTTTGTGTCAGGACATCATTTTTGTTGAATGAACTTTAGAAAACAAAATGGCAGCAGTTTTACTTGGTCTTCAAAAAGAAGAAACATGCCAACAGTAACTTTTTGTTTTTTCAGTTCCTAAAAACAATCCATGTTTACATTTACAAAAGCTAAAATGGAACAATTTCTGCAGAGATTTTGTTACATTTTATTTTTATATCAAATCAAATCAATACATCATCCTTTACAAAGCTGTCATCTTTGATAACAAATGTATCTTTTTCGTTGTAGCAATTACTCCCCCCCCCCCAGTGTTGCATTAATGTTACAGTTTGAGCCTTTTAGTTTCTTGATTACTGATTTGAACCAAGTTCCAGTAGACAACCCAGTTAAGAGTAAAGGACATGATCAGAGTGTCTCTAGTCTTGTATTCCTTCTCCTGCTGTTTATGCTAGTATGAAAGTAGAGCCACTGACCTGAATCCTAACAGGAATGTTTACTGATAGAAATGTAAGGAAAATAGGCAGGGAGATACCCTTTCCTCAGTTCTACCCCATACCCTCCTGGATCCTTCTCTGGCAGACAGCAAAACTCCTTTGAGCATCTCCATGATCTATTGCAGGAAATGAAAGAAGAAAAGTTCTGGTGCTGCAGGATTACATTGGATAGAGGCCGCAATTCTTTGAACTACAGTATAGCAAGGCTGATTAATACTGTCTTTCTTTAATTCTGATACAATTTTCTATATAAACATTTCTAAAATGTGGTGCATCTTAAAATTTCAGGTGTATCTTACATATTTTTGGTGGTGGTGATACTGAAATTAGAGTGCATCTTACAATTGAAGAAATACGATACTATGCTCTTAGGTTCTATGGCAGTGGTTCCCAATCTTTGGGCCTCCAGGTGTTTTGGACTTCATCTCCCACAGTTCCTAACAGCTGGTAAGCTGGTTGGGATTTCTGGGAGTTGAAGTTCAAAACACCTGGAGGCCCAAAGATTGAGAACCACTGCTCTATGGCAATACTAAAATATTGCTTAACAAGGGACTGCTTGTATAGTAGGCTGAGAGAAATAAGTTGCGCAAGTCTATTCATAATAGCAACTAGACAGTTACTTGTGTAAAGGAAATTGCACGCTTCATGTGTTGCTGTGTTGGAGGCCTTGCTGCTACTGTGGTAAAAAAACATAGCCTGTTTGTCTTGGGGGTGACTGAGTATATACATTACTGCTCTTTTGTTATATGGTAAGTGTTACCACTTATCTCTGACTTCCAATAGCACAGCATGGGCTCTCCCACTTCTTCCCCCCAAATAATATGTGTGTGATTATGCCACTATCTGTTTGAATAGTATTATCCCTCAGCATTTGGGGGGTTTGGGATTTATTCCACATTTAAATTTTAATTCAGGAATGTTTTTCAATTGAGTTGTGATTTTATTTTCTACCCACCACATATTTTTCATATATAGCATCATCAAGAAGATATTTGGGGGCTGAAAAACAGTTGGAAAAGTTTTTATTACATAAAAGTGCATATTTCACTGTTTCTACTGAAAAAGTAGTTATGGAAAGTATAGAAATCACTGGAAGGAACCAAACTTTTGTGAGAGAAGACAATGTGGTAAAACTTTACACCATTTTCACTGCCATGGTCCAATGCTATGAAATCATAGATGCTATAGTTTTTTGACAGAGAAAGCTAAAGACCTGGTGAACCTACAATTTCCATGCATTGAACCATGGCAGTTAAAATTGTGTAAAACAGTGTAGATGCACCTAAGAAATGTGTAATTGTCCAAACAATCATACTTCTTCTTTTTGGTTTACCTATGTATGAATAATGATAACATCTATCTAGATAAACTCATACAGGCATTCTTCCATCAACAAAGTAGATTTTTTTATTTTACATTACATCTTCCATAGAAAATTTGGTACCATAGACAGAAATAAAATTTAAAAGATAGAAATAGTTTTCTATACCCAAAAAAAAGGAGAACGGTTCAACGGTTCATCAAAACATTTATTCAGAACTAATGACAATGTGTACATGTGAAATGAAACTTCCAAGTCAAGTAATACTTGCATAAGTAAACAAGCATTTGAAACTTCTAGACACAATTTTAAGACTTCATTCAAAATGCATTTTTTCATACATTTCTACTTTTCTTACTATATTTCCATTTTAGTGCCCATACTTACAGATTTACGCCTTTAAAAAAACATCCTGGGAGGAGCTGATGACACAAGCTAATTTTCTTTCTCCCTTTCTTATTTGTTTTTCATGAATATTTATTTATTTATCATGTCATCCACAACCAGAACATTGTATTACATTTCTAGCAGAACAAAACAAACAAACAGATTAAAAAACCCCACAAATTTTGCAAACTTGGTAGCTGATTAAATGTCCTTTGACCAGTATCTGGCCACTTGGAGTGCCTCTGTTGTTGCCGCAAGAAGGTCCTCCATTGTGCATGTGGCAGGGCTCAGGCTGCATTGCAGCAGGTGGTCAGTGGTTTGCTCTACTCCACACTCATGAATGCTTAGTATGGGATTCCAGAAACAGCTGTTAATTAATTTGCTTTTTGTAGATAGGCACACAGAGCTAGAGCAGTGGAGAACTTCATTTTTTCCACCTTAAGCATTATTGCGTTATTTGCCGCAACCATGGTGCTATTTTTATGAAGTACTCTTTTATTACCCTCTAAATGCTGTTTTAAAACTTCAGTTTAGTCTGGGGGCAAGAAGGAAAAGAGGAGGGGTTAGGAAGACTGAAAAAGACTTGCACAAAAGGAGTATTTATCAAAGCCTGTTACTGTTGTATGGCTGTAAACTTCTCTTGGTACGGCAATTGTCTTACGTTGTTTCCGGAATTTTTTTTAAAATGACATATACATATCTGTGGTCCCACTCTATTCTACTCTTTCTCTGTAATTCTCCACATATTACTCATTCTGTAACCCTATATACTATACTTTTGATAGATTAATATTTAGGAGAGATTATTGAATATAGTGTAAACTTCTAATACTTCTCTGTGGTGGCCCCTCGGCTGTGGAACTCCCTGCCTAGGGATATTAGATCAGCCCCCTCCCTCCTGACTTTTCGGAAGAAAGTAAAAACCTGGCTCTTCGAGCAAGCATTCGGAACCCCGGAATAGATAGTCAAGCTTGAGATGGAGAATGACCCAGGAACGGCCAAGACGATGAAACAGATGAGGATTGGAATGAGAGGATATAGCTCTTTTTAAATTGTTATTGCACTGTCTTTTTTGTCTAAATGCACTTAATTGTTTTTGCTGTTGTATTGTATTGATGGCATCGAATTGTGCCGATATGTAGACCGCCCTGAGTCGCCTGCGAGCTGATATGGGCAGGATATAAGTGATGTAAATAATAAATAAATAAATACTTGGTGGTGATATGTGCCTCTGGGTTAGAAATGGAATAAGTCTAACTGGTGATCTTTCTTATTTTGCAGATCAGGATCCCCTTGCTATGTTTTTAGAAGTGGAGAATGAACATGGATAATTTCACTCCTATCAACAAGAATCTCTCTTCAACAGCTAATATGTCTGGTCTCCTTGCGTATCCACTGAACCTAACTACCAGTTCTCCTTCCATGTCAATTAATAAGCTTTTCCCAGCCTTGTTACAATGCTTTGGCATTATTCTTTGTGGATACATAGCCGGAAGAGTTAACATAATTACATCAACTCAGGCCAAAGGACTTGGAAATTTTGTCTCTCGTTTTGCACTCCCAGCTTTATTGTTCAAAAACATGGTTGTGCTGAATTTTTCGAATGTGAATTGGTCCTTCCTCTACAGCATTCTTATTGCCAAAGCGTCTGTGTTCTTCTTAGTTTGTGTTCTAACATTCTTGATAGTCACTCCTGAGAGGCGGTTTAGCAAAGCTGGACTGTTTCCTATCTTCGCTACTCAGAGCAATGACTTTGCCCTGGGATATCCTATAGGTAAGAAACAAACATATGTATTATTTGTTCTGACATTATTTTGAAACACATTGTGTGTTAGAAGTGCACAGTACACATTATCACTGAGAATGTACATCACGTGTGTTGTTTCACCTACTAATTCAAGAATTTTTCAGTAGCTGAGTTAAAATACTTTGGCTTCATTAATCATAAATGGCATAGCATAGGGCTTTATAAATAAACCCATGGTGTAGTTTTAGCAGAGAAACATGGATGTGTGGAGATTGAAATTTGGGCACACTCTTCTGGAGCTGTTCTGTCTTAAAACTTAAGTTATAGGAGTTATATCTAGGTAACAAGGTGTTGGCAAGACTTAGGTGTTTGTTATCAAGAAGGTGATCTAGTTGAGCATTTTTGTATCGGAATGTATCTGAACATATGCAACAGTTTGTCAATGACATGTATCCGGACTCATGTTTCTTGGGAAGAATGTTCTCCATAGTGCTTGTAATTTGATACATTAGCGGAAAAATGTATTTGAATTTAGTTCTATTGTCAAGGCTATGTTCGTGATTGTTCTGATCAAAGAGGCTAGATGTTAGCCCTAACACATTGTCTTTCTTTCTATTTAATGTTTAACTAATGTTTAACTTTAAACACTAGCAGCAACCAAATCAAAGTTTTAGAACTAGCAGAAGGGGAAGGCAATGTCATTAATAAGTACAATAGTAGGCAAGGAAGAATAATATGCTAGTTTTGTTAGGTCTATGTGATTTAGTACATGAATCTGTTGAAGCACTTAGAGAATTGTTTCATCGTTTTTGCATTATATTACATTATATTGTGTTGCATTAAAACTTCTCTTGTTGCTGGGCCAAGTAGCAATTTACAGTAAGTAGTCGTTACTACACATGGAAATAGGTTTTGCTCAAATGAGATTTTGTTTGCATTTAAAAAAGCACACTAGCATATCTGTATTAATAATAATAATAAAACTTTATTTGTATTCCACCCTATCTCTCTGAGGGGAATCATGACTTTGCAACATTTTGGGCCCATATCTATATTTGGAGCTTTGAAACAGCTGGTATAGTCACCTCTTCCATCACACAGAAAGAAGGGAGGAACACCTACCTGATCACATTCATGCTTTTACTTTTTCTGTTTGGGTGAATGTTATATTCAGTCAAAATACTCTTGAAATCACATGTTTTATACAAAGTATCTTAAGGGAAAACAGAATTGATACTACTACTATGGTGAGAAAATATAGCCATAAAAGAGACATTCTCAAACTGTGGCCCTCCAGCTGTTTTGACCTTCAACTCCCAGAATTTCTAACAATTGAACAAGCTTATTTGGGCTTCTGGGAGTTGGGGGCCCAAAAATCTGGAGGGCCCCAGTTTGAGGATGCCTGACCTAAAGAATATATCTTGTGTTGTTTACATGGGATGCCAACAAGTCATACAACATCTCTAATGATGGGTTGAGTTTATGCCTTGGATCCATGTTTCTGTTACAGTAATACTGACAAGTGCTGATTCTACCTTTTACAATTATGCAAAACCATAAGAATGAGGTAGATGAGTTTTCCCTTTGCAAATTATGTAGATAAATAAGGTTACATGAAATTTAACTTTTACCCAGACTTTGTTCCACAGAAAAGCAGTTAGGATATGTTGTGTTGAAGGACGCTTTCTGTTTCCTTTCTTCCAGCCTCACCCTTTTACATGGGATCTTGCATAAGGTCAGTGCAGGATATGTGTATTGGAAAACAGGCATTCAATTCTCTTGTTTGCCTTCTACATGGACAATTAGATAGGATTATGTCAAGGGACAGCAAGAGTCTTGCATGCTCTGCTGTAGAAATTGATCTAATGAAATGATCTAATTTTGGCTTCAGTACAAATACAACCTTTTGCTTTATTCCTTTGGTAAAGTGTTAGAGTTTCTGGAAGATACAATGGGGAAGTACTGGGGGCTGAGAGACCACCTCCTTAACCTTGCATTATTTCAGTCTGCTAGCAAGCTTGGTGTCATGGATGCCATTTTCTCCCCACCTCAAATGCTTAAAGACTGGCAAGTTATGGGGCAGGCTGCTCTTTTTATGGTGCTATATTAAATTAGGAGCCTTCTTTGCTTTATATGATTATCTTTGTGAATAGCCAAGGCTTACAATCAAAGTGTTCAAGGCTCTCTGTTGGAAGTGGGTGTACCAAAGTAATAGGCCTGGCCATTCTGTTAGTACATGTTTCACTTCAGAAGATTGAGGTTTCAAGTCTTTTGAGAAATCATGCTTTCATTTATAATGCTGAGCTATTGCTCCACCTTCTATCGTTCACCTTTTACCACATTACAAAGAGTGCCCTGTGACATTTTAATAAGTATCTGTGAAGGCACACACCTAGTTCAGAGTTTGCTAAATTATCATTTTATTGTTTAGGGCAAAGTGCAATAGCATAGGTTAAAATGGCAGCATAGGACTTACTTGTCCATGCCAGAAATAAATACTTAAACTCGGCCATGATAGCCAGTAAAAAGTCACGACTCATTAGTCAGAGCAGTAAAATATCAAAAGAGTATTCAGTAAACATTTTAAATGTAGATATGGGAAATTTTGTCAAGCAGAAGCCAGTATCTGATTCCTTAAAGGTATAGTGGTAGGCTTGATCACCTGGTCTGAAGATCAAGGCCAGGCTGATGTGTCCTGAATTTTGCAGAGAAGGAACCAAAGATGAAAAACAAGGCTTGAGCATTCAAAGGCCAGCAGGCTTTCTAGCTCATTGTATTTCCTTCTAGAATACATTCCATGACTATTTAGATTGTGATTAGCTCTCCATGGAAACATAAAATATGCCGTCTGTCACCTTCTGGCTTTCACTGTGTTTGACATGATGGAAATGCAATTTTAAGAAGAGAAAGGGGATAGATTTAACAGACACAATCAAAGTTTCAGCATACTAGAATTTGCAATAAAAGGTATAGAATCATTAGGATGAGATAAATGGGGATACTACAACTTTTTTGAAGACATTTTGAAGCATTGGTAAAATTAAGACTTTGTATAGCAAAAACTATTCACAAATTCCAATGGCCTTTAAAATGTAATAGTAAAGAAGCTTAGGTCATTTTGAGGCTTCTGCCAACATGCAAATAGAGATCCAGTGAAGAATTCCACTTCAGAAGAGGAGTACTGGGACAAATTTTTCCTGGTTGTATTTTCTCACACTTATCCCTCTCACACTACATCTGACTGCGCCATAGCTGTCTGGAGCAAATTTTCAGGCATGGACACCAATGGTGAAAAAAAATCAAGTGCTCTTTGAGATATCTTTCAATTGTAACTTGCAGCATTCCTCCTCAGTGGCTATGCTGCAAGGACTCATCAGTCCAACAACATTTGGGGGACTGCATGATTCTTACCCCTGAAATAAATGTGTTGTTATTTTATTTTTATTTTTTTAAAAAAAGGTTATAATGCTATTGGGCATGGTATGACTCCTTTTACACTTTCTTTGCTCATCATTCAGTAAAGTTATTCTTGGAGTCAATCTTTTCCATCCTGGCACTATGCAGATATATTGCCTACATTTCTTCTTGACCCTAGGCACCATGACCAGTAGGCAGGGGTGATGGCAATTGTTGCCTGAAATAATTGTAGGTTGGGTGAACTGCTAGGCTGTATGTTGTTGTTAATGTTGTTTGGGATCCAACAATAATGTGGTGAGTAGTAATTGCTCATACAGATCAAGATAGAAGCACTTCAGCTAGATCATCCACTACTGCTACTTTGTGGTGTCTGTTCAGAAGTTTTTGGGGAGAGCCATCTCCTTGTAACCACCTCTCACATATATACTCAAAAGCATCGTTTTTTATTTGCCTTCAAGTCAATTCTGACTTATTGTGACCTTAAGGTGAACCTATCATGGTATTTTCTTGGCAAGATTTGTTCAAGGCGGTTTGTCTTTGCCTTCCTCTGAGACTGAGTGTATGTATCTTGTCCAAGATCACTAAGAGTCCGAATTCAGTGCTCAAAATGCTTCAGTACACCACTCAAAAACTTCTGCCTTTCCCACTCAGCTCCTTTTTATCTGTTGTGACAGAGCAGGGAATTTTCTCCTTCATCCAAATATCTCCTCATGTATTTGTGAGCTACTGAACATTATTATTATTCTGTCTCTAATTTTGTTTGTTTGTTATTTCATTGCTATAGTTACATCTTACCTTTGGTTGAAATGCCAGTGTTGTGTCTTTCTCAGCATGGCTAAATAAGAAATCTACCACAATTGGGTTGACATGCAGAATGACCCCTATCATGGTGGATTGCTACTCCTGCCATCCCAGAATGAATCTTCACAGTAAATCCAATCTCTCATTCTAGGAAGACACAAGGAATAATCCACCATTATTAATTCATTCTGCATGTCAACCCAATCATGGTGAATTGCTCCTCTTGCCATTCCCAAATGAATCTTCATGATAAGTCCAATGTCTCATCCTTTAGGGGTTCTTTGAGAAGTCTGTCAACTTCTGGTCTTTGTCTTGTTTAATGTATTAGTTCTGGGTAATTTTTCATAGAACTTGCCTTCCCCAAGTGAAGGGCTTAGGTCTCAGCCATACCAAAGCTTTGCCAAAAATTGTTGATGCAATGGCACATAGGACAAAATCTCTGAATAAGACTGTATTTGCTTTAGTTAAGAGTTTAGTGCAGGATGCTTGTCTAAGGCATCTCTCATACATAAACATTGGATAAAGTAGTGAAGGCTTATGGATACTGATGTGTATGAATAAAACGTGTGCCTGTGAGAACAGAGATGTCTGTGTGTGGCATTTGTGAAAATCCCCTTCAATCACCTTTTAACATGTTTCTCATTTTCCTTCTAGTTGAAGCTTTATATCAAACTACATATCCGGAGTATCTCCAGTATATTTACTTGGTTGCACCAATATCTCTCATGATGCTAAATCCTTTAGGATTCATTTTTTGTGAAATCCAGAAATCAAGAGACAATCAGAGTCTTTCTCACAGCAAAATCAAGATTGTGGGACTTGGACTTCTAAGGGTGTTACAAAACCCTATAGTATTTATGGTCTTCATAGGAATTATCTCAAATTTTATTCTCAACCAAAAGATTCCTGATTATTTGGAAAACTTCCTTGATGGTCTTGCCAGTTCTTTTTCTGGTTCAGCACTTTTTTATTTGGGCCTCACCATGGTGGGCCAAATCAAGAAACTGACAAGGGGTACATTTGTTGCACTGATTCTTCTCATCACAGCTAAACTGTAAGTTTCATTTTTGTTTCTAATATTGGTTTTTTTTTTTCTTTGCTTGTTTGTATGGTTACTTTTCAGTATTGGGTTAAGTCTTAAATCCAGTGTCATGAGACTGAAACAGCATGTGTTTTTAATGAACTTGGATATTTATGTCTTATTTGGATTGCACAATTGTTGATCTAATTTACATTTTTAAAAATTTGCTAATTAGCCTATCTTGTCACAATTTCGCACTCATGTACAGCTATCCAAATAATAAGAACCTAAGATTTAAAATCTCTTTGGGTTGAAACTTGTGTGCATATGTGCCAGTTCTTCTGAAAGCAACACAAACATTGACTTTTAAGGAGGGGTGGATATATATGCTTACTTTTGGTATCCATTGTTTTTGCATGTTTTAACCCATATTTCCATTTCTGCATTAATCTGTAGGTTTTCTTTCTCCTTTTAAAAGCATATTTTGGTAAACTTAAATTCGTGAGAACTATTTTGTAGTATTCAGAGAAGTAGAAAAAATAGTGATTAGCTAAATTTCAATATGTGCATTATTCCCAGAGTTGCAAATCATGCCACTACATGTTGAAATTTGCAAAGACTGAATACTCCAAACACCCCTAGAATTAATGTCTACTATGTTTATGCACACATGCCATCACAAGCTTTTTTTTATTCTTCCCATGTGATGTGTGGGATTTCATTTAGAAGCAAGAGTGAAGCCTCAGAAGTCCTTCTGTGAACAGAGGAATGAACAAATGGTTTTCCAAACCAAAGCCAGGGTCCTCAAAGCCAGGAACAGCTGATCTGTATCGTGAATGACATGCTACGATTGTTGCTCATGCCACTAGAATTAGATTCCCAATAATTTACAAGTGTCTATTCAGAATTTCAGCTGTCAGTAATTTGTATTTGTTGATCCTGAATATTTATTATTCTAAATATTCAGAAAACTTCCACATTTGCTGAGGTTAAGGGTATAAGAGTGCTACAAAAATGGAAAACACATATTTTTGAACATATTTTTTCAACCTGAGGAAACACCTCTCTAGGAATCTTTAGGTCCTCCAACATGAGGAGGTTGACCGTAGAGTGGCACTGGAAGACCTAGAGATTCCTAGGGATATATTAATCAAATCCTGGAGTAATTAAAACTGCAAAAGTGAAACCCAGAAATATGGAGAGGCAACTCTGTTATAAAAATAGCTGTGGATTGCATGATAAAAGGTAGGCTATACTGTTGTTGTTTTGCAAAAATTCTAGCAACAAAAGAAGCAAAAGAATCATGATCCATGATTTAAAGGTATTTAAAAAAATATCTAAAGCTCCTAAATTGCACAAGTAGACTCTCATGTCTGAAACTGGTGTTTTTCACCAGAGATGCTCTGAAGGATTTCCAGTCCTTTGGAGAAGATGCTGGAATTAATTTGATTTGCCATCCATATCTATTTCACTGATAGAAGAAGCCCATTGTATATGTCCCATACACAATGTCCCATATACAATAGTAGTGAATAACTATGATAATCCCTCCTCTTTCAGAATGGGGTCATTTTTATTTCTGTTTAGACAAACTGAAGAATGTCTCAGGCATTTGAGTTGAAGGAGGGAGAGGGACATATTTAACAAATAAAAATAGCGTAATTGTTTATGTTGAGGGCCTCTTTCAGTATTAGATGTGTTTCATATATCTATCATATATGCAGCAAACACTGACTTTTTTGAGGGAAGTTTGTATGTGTATTTGCAATCATTGCAAATATGTGTGCTTAGAAAGTTCAGTTGGCCTTGGCTTCCAGTGCATGCTCATTGTGTGCTTCCAGTTTCAAACCATCTGTTTAAATATTAGTGCGCAGCATATGGGCAAGTAGTGAACACATACGCAGTCCAAAGTATAAAAAGGCTTTGGGCTTCTCTATTTCTTGGAATGTAATGCCATTTATTTCTAACTTAAGGAAAAAAGAACTAGGGGTTAGCTGGTTTTATAAAGATATTAGTGTTATGATAGAAGTGAGTTCATGCTGCCAGAAGAAAGAGGGATAATGGTTGGGTTGAGGTTTCTAGAATAAAGTCAGATTTTGTGTGTGTTCTAGACAGGGTTAGTACACCGGTTGCATACTGGTAGCAAGAAGGAAACTGTGACTATTGTAGCTTTATCAATGAGTTTGTGGCCTGAGTATTGTTTTTAATTTAATGACTATTATGATAATTTGGTTATAATTAATTGCTATTGTTTTAACTCTGTATGTATTTATGGTTTTATACTGTGTAATTGATTTGGGGCATCGAACTGCTGCCTTTGTTAGCCGCTCTGAGTCCGCCCCCCCCCCCGGGGGGAGGTTGAAAAGGGCGGGGTAAAATGCTGTAAATAAAATAAAATAAGATAGCCAGAGCTGTCATATGTAAGAGAAGACAGCTGCTTAACATTGGAAGCCTTCTTCTCCCAACAGAGACTTTTTTGAGGGAAGTTTGTATGTGTATTTGCAATCATTGCAAATATGTGTGCTTAGAAAGTTCAGTTGGCCTTGGCTTATTTATTTATTTATTTATTTATTATTTTTATCCCACCTTTCTCTTGATACAACTCAAGGTGGCTACCAATAAAGATAAAACAATGCTAATTAAAAACAATGTAAATGTATTCAAACATAGACATAAAAATGGAAAATAATTGGAACCATGTTATTAAAATATCCAAACATTAAAATATTAAAATGTATTAAAACTTTACATCCAAAAATCCCAAAATCCTCAAAATACCATCCTTAAAATCTCACCCCCCCCCCCCCCCCCCCCCCACCAGTTTATAAACACTTGATGGCAGAGAAATGCTTTGTTTGTTTTCATTATGTCATTGAGTGTTTTCCCCTTTTTTGTTTGGAAACCGTCCAGAGTTCCTTCAAGGGAGATAGGGTGTGTTATAAATAAAGCTTATTATTTACCTACATATGAAAGGTGTGCAGAACTGGGGCCATCCTGGTATAGACTTCCTGGAGAAAATGAAGTATGTACTCTGCTGAGTACCTCAATTAAAATATTGTATTTTGAACTCATTGCCCTCTTTCCCAAAAATGGTTTTACAGAGCATGAATAATTTTTGTCACATCTTGTTCTATTACAGGCTTGAGCTCATTAATCATGGTGGATCTTAAATGCATGTATTTGCATTAGATTAGGGCTACAGCATATTCAAAGAACAATTTAGTTGATTTTTTACCACAATCACTCCCCTGCTGTCCTTTTCACAAAGTTTTTAAATGTAACTTGTGACAGTATCTTGAACTTGATTGAACTTTGCCATCGAGTAATTTGTATTCTCCCTTTTCTTTCTTTCAGACTGTTGATGCCACTTCTATGCAGGGAAATGGTAGAATTATTGGACAAGAGCAACAGCTTGGTCAACCATACCAGCTTATCAAACTATGCATTTCTTTATGGAGTCTTTCCAGCAGCTCCTGGCGTTGCTATATTTGCAACACAATTCAACATGGAAGTAGAAGTTGTATGTCTCCTGAAAGCTATTCATTTGATTGAACAAATGCGAAATTAGAGTATACTTTTTAAATGAATTTTTCAAAGAGATGCCAGCATACTGACTTCCTGTGTTCTAGAAAAATAAGAACACAATCCAACTTGAAGTTAAACAAATTGGTTTCATTTTGCTTAAGAGCACCTACTCCTTGCTTAGACAGATCTTAAGAGTAGCTTTGCTGCCTAACTTTGGAGATTAACCTCAACTAGAAAAACTAATGTTCTCAATAGCAAATATGCACAGAGATCTAGAGACAGATATAGAAAGGAAGGACGTGTACTAAAAGGAAGTGTGCTGATTTAAGAGGTTTTGGGCAACATATTTTGGCAATATGCCATAAACTTTTAAAAGTATTGGTAAAGCTTACGCATTTTTTATTGTAGCTTTATCTTCTATTTTTTAAATCAGTTGCAAATATTAAAATTTTGGCTTTGCTGCCAAGAGTTGAGATGTTTGAGAAACATAATGTTGGAGGGTGGTACTCCTCCATAAGAATAAGAGAATTGCTTTCTGAATTTTCCCCTTTGCTGAAGCACTTCCGATTACATGAGATCTTTGGGGCAAAAAAGTTCTCTGTGGGAAGAGCTGCTCAGATTCTGTTTTTGCACTCCCACACTCCTCCCTGGTTATTTTCCCACAGTGATAGTAACTCCTCTTTTTAGTAAACATAGCTTATTTAAGGATATACTGTGGTAAACTTTTCATGTTCAATATATCAGAATGTTCAAGGAACTTTTAATGAGATGGCTGAGGTAACCACTCAAAGCTTTAACATTGTTCTGGTTATTTATTTATTTATTTATTATTACATACACTTTTACTCCACCCCTCTCCCCCCGAAGGAGGACTCAGGGCGGCTCACACAAGCACCATATGATGCCATCATCATATAAATAGTCAACAATAGATTAAAACATTAAAAACAATTCATTAAAACAGGGGTCCTCAAACTAAGGCCCGGGTGCCGGATGCAGCCCTCCAAGGTCATTTACCCGGCCCTCGCTCAGGGTCAACCTAAGTCTGAAACTACTTGAAAGCTCATAACAACAACAACAATCCTATCTTATCAGCCAAAAGTAGGCCCACATTTCCCATTGAAATACTAATAAGTTTATATTTGTTAACATTGTTCCTCATTTTAATTATTGTATTGTTTTTAAGTGTTTTTTACACTACAAATACGATATGTGCAGCGTGCATAGGAATTCATTCATTTTTTTTGCAAATTATAATCCGGCCGTCCAACAGTTTGAGGGACTGTGACCTGGCCCTCTGTTTAAAAGTTTGTGGACCCCTGCATTAAAACAACAGATTACACATGCCAGTTAAAACCAGATCCAGTCAGGGTTAAACAATGTCACAATATCCTAAATCTTCTTTCCAGTGGTTATCAGACTATAATCTAAGTGCACCAGGGGACTGATAGATTGCCATACAGTAATACAAACAGATTTATTTCATTGTGAACACTAAGAATCATGTAACATTAATATTGTGTTTACTTGAATCTAATGCTCATCTTTTTTGACTCAATTGCCTTCCCAAAATTAGGGTGTGCATTAGATTCGCGTAATATGGTAAATACATTTTTGGGTTTCAGGGTTTTGAAAATAGAGGTGTGCATTAGATTTGATGGCTCATTAGGCTTGAGAAATAAATACTGTTAACTTTGGAATTGTCAGCTGCTTTCTCTTTCCATGGGCATTCTGGGGTTTGTTTTTATTCTTCTAAGCATTCTGTGTATATCATGTTGCGCCATTGGCATTCTTCTGGCCAGAAATAATAATAATAATAATCATCATCATCTTTATTTATACCCTGCCACCATCTCCCCAAAGGGGACTCGGGGTGGCTTACATGAGACCAAGCCTGGTAATACATAACAGCAAAAATACAGAACAGCAAGATAACAAAATAGAAAGGATCTTGGCTCCAACTGAAGACTAATGATCGGTGCAACTCATGACAAAATTTTTCCCTTCCTTCCCATAAAGCAATTAGGGAAATGGTTATGTGAATTTATTTTGGGTAATTTCCCCAGACTGGGATATTCTTGAGTTGCTTCACATACTCCCATAGTCTGCGCAACCAGTGACTGTACTGCCTACAGATTGTGAGGGCCATTCCCACTACAGTTGGAGAGGGAAAAACATGTTTGTATGTGCATCAGGTCTTCTAGGCCAGATTTTGTACATAATTTTGATTTTGTTCAAAAGAAATAGCAAAGAGGCAACAGTTGATCAGAATATAGGGGTTCCTGTGGCTCTGTAGGATCTGGATCCATGATGCCCAACTACCATGCATTGTCACACCCTAAATTAGCAAATGATGGTGATGTGAATGCACTCATGCTGAAGCATATGTATATATGTCACTGCCATTTAATAATACAAAGTGTGATCATCTGGGTTTTTTTAAATATCAGTTCAGGAACTGAAACCCTGTGGATGAAGTTGCCCACTGTAAAGAACATTTGAATCCCCCCCCCCCCATGTCTAGAAGTATAATTCCAAAAGTGTCCATGTTGGCAGGTCCTCTGGGAGGTGAAATTTTAAATATCTGGAGGGTCACTTTACCACCAACCCTTATCCCACACTCCTGATTACTTCATGTGACTGGACAAAAAGGCTGTGCCCAAAAGGGAAAAAGTTGAAGGAAATAAAATGCTATAGAACAATGGTTCTCAACCTGTGGGTCCCCAGATGTTTTGGCCTTCAACTCCCAAAAATCCTAACAGCTGGTAAACTGGCTAGGATTTCTGGGAGTTGTAGGCCATAACACCTGGGGACCCACAGGCTGAGAACCACTGCTACAGAAAATGCAGACGTGTTAAAACCTTCATCTGTGGATTGTTCATCTAATAATGCTATGGACTGTTACTTGCTGAAGTAATTTTTCAGTGGGATTATTGGGTTCTTTTTTGTGATTTCAGATAACTTCTGGGATGGTGATCAGCACTTTTGTTTCTGCTCCCATCATGTATGTTTCTGCTTGGCTGTTAACCATTCCTTCTATGGATCGAAACAGACTGGCATCAGCAATCCAGAATGTTAGTTTTGATATTAGCATTGTCAGTGTTGTCTCTTTGGTGAGTATTAAGTGATCAGAATGTCATTTTTTGTGTGCATGCGTATAGAAAAGAACAGGTAGGAAAAATCTGATAGAATTCGCTTAGGAGCAAACCCCGCTGCACACTTGGGTATGTAATTCCAAGTAAAATACAATGCAGTATTCTTCTGCTTTGTCCAGTTCTCAGAATAAAGACAGAGTAACAGAACTGAACAATCTTATCTCTGTAATAATTTAACCTTTTGAGGTTAAAAGGTTGTCTTTAATACCAACTACGTGATAAATGTAAACAATACATTTGTCCCATCTTATTTGTAATTGTAAGGCAATAAAGAATAGAAGTGTCTCTCTTGAAAACGTATAACACCGGCCAAATACATTTTTTTCTATTTTGCCAGATTATTTTTTAACATTTTTGCAAGTAATCAAACAAACATGCTGGTTTTGCCAACGGTGTGTGTTAAGTGATTCATCCTGTGAACTAGTGTGGTATTAAGTGTGTTTATTTTATTGTAATACACACTTTTCTAGTTTCCCTCTCAGGGGGATGGGGGATTTTTTTTGTTTAAAAAATTATCTGCACTATGTGTGCGGAATATGCATATGTGGACTTAGAGGAAAGCTCAGTTTGTCTGCTATTTGTCACATTTGCAGACACAACAGAGTAAAAGATGCTGCTCTAGTCATGCCTGTCACCTCTCTCTCCACATAATCTTTTGTTAGTGGCTGGGAGAAAATTGATTGAGATCTACTGGTAGATTGCTGCATGATTTGCAGAAGGTTGTGTATCTGTGCATGGCAGGAGGTTGGATTAAATGGTTCTTGTGCCTTCTTCCAAATCTATAATACAAAGGATTCTTGACTCCGTAATATTTACTGATACCTTGATCCTGTTCTGGGGGCCCAGTTCCATCTCACGTTGTTCATCTTGAATTATACTCTTACAGTTAAGAAAGCTTAATGAGGAATTTGTTTTTGTATTGCAGGATGGTGAATTTGGTTCATTTTTGGAATTAAAGACAAATTCCTGGACTCAGAATTGTTTAATGCATAGTGTTTACCTTTTGCATTTGACTTTGGCTGGTGGATCTTGGAATTCTAGTAAAAAAATAAAGTACAACACACAACCACCATCCCTTAGCCTCTACCCCTTTGCTTTGTAATATTTTTTCACTGTACAGTAAATATGTTTGTGCCTTGTAATGTAATGTGATATAATGTATACGTAATACAAACTACTACTTAGTACTGTTCTGTGTTTTGGAAGTATCAGAATGAAATAATTTCATTATTGGAATTGGTACTCAAATCTTGAACTTATATCCAAATAGAAAGGTAGACTTCAGGAAGTAGCCTGATTCGCTGGTAGTGAATCTTTGTAGAGTAATCCTGACATTTCAGTGGCTACTTGCTTCTAAAAATTAGAATACTAATTCAAACAACAGATCCGTTTTAAACTGTAACCTGAGAAATTATGACTTTATTCATTGGAAAGATAAACACTAATGAATAGTTGTCTTAGCAGAAAAGTGGATTTAAGAAACATTTCTTTAAAGTTTGAATACCACAGAAATAAAGGAAATGTAGCATTTTGTGGTTCCATGAGGCAAGGGAACCTTAACTTAATCTACAATTTGTTTTTCAGATCTGGTCTCTTGGAATTATTATCTTAAGTAAAAAGTACAAACAACTTCCTCATGTGCTTACAACTAACTTACTAATTGCTCAGGTCAGTACAAACACAATATATATATGTAATTGTGTGGGCTTGTAAAAACAATTATTTTAAAATTCCTTGAAAGTAGGAACTTTAAAAACCCATGTTGCTGTTACCATGGTAAAACTAAGAAGATATGTACCTGACTCAGGACCAGTATGCATGTTGAAAGAATGTAAATCAATATTGAAGTAAGAATAATCATCCCTCTGTGGTTTTGACTTCTGCAGATTTGATTATTCACATAATTGAACAAAATTGTCATGTCTCGGAATCTCTAGGTCCTCTAGAGCAATGTTTCTCAAACTGTKCTCCTCCAGGTGTTTTGGATTTCAGCTCCCAGAAATCTCAGCCAGTTTACCAGCTGTTAGGAATTGTGGGAGCTGAAATCCAAAACATCTGGAGTGACTCTGGTCAACTCCCTCCAGTCATGTTGCAGAACCCAGAGAGTTGTAGAGATAAAACATTTCTAAGTCCTCCTATGGTAAGCTTCCAGCAGAAGTTGACYCTTGAGTCATGCTGGATGAATCAGAAATTCTTCAGGAGGTGTTCACATTAAAWATATATATATACATTTCTTTATTAACTGAGGTCCTGTGCTCCTAACTCTAGTGAAATGCTGACTGTACATTATCTGGAGCAAAAGAAATCTGAGAACACCTGGACAAGGGATTCCCAAACTTTTTATCCCCACTGCAGCTTCTGTGGGTCTTTGAAAAAAAATTGGTTAGGAAATGGCGTAGAGCYGGGAATTGGAATGGGATAGGGGAAACTGAGTGGAATCTGAAGTTGTGAGAAAGAGTAGATGGAAATTCCTGTTTGTTGGGTACACCCAATTGAGTACACTCAATTCTTCTCCATGGTCTCTATGAATTGCACACGTGGGGTTTCCTGTCGTAGTCAACTGTGAATCGCACATATGGTWTTCCTGCGCCTGCGCAGGCCAGCTTCGGAATCTTCTAGAAATCAAAAAGCAATCCATCCCCCTCATGGCCCCGCCTTCCCCCCACTCGGGTATATAAGACCCCAAGGCGGGGCCAGCCAGCTAGTTCTCTTTTTTCCGCCGGATTGTAGGCATCAGCTAGTGAACCTTAATCTTTGGACTGAATTCTCGTGCTTGACTTTGGACTGAACAAGGTATCTTTCTCCCCCTCTTGACTACGGACTGGACTTGGCTACTCTTTTGGATCTCCCTTTGATTGATAGCAGTTGCCGGCATGGCGACCACTGCCTTTAAGAAATGCGCCGAGTGTCCCAACATTCTCCCTGACATGGACGGCCACAATTTATGCCTCGCCTGCCTGGGAGAGGTGCATCTTAAACAGCCCTGTGTGATTTGTGCGGCCTTTACACTGCAAACCCACAAAAACAGGGAGACGCTCCTCAAAGCGGCCCTCTATGAGAGGGCCTTACTGCCGCCACCCTCCGTTAGGCCCCCAAAGCCATCGGATGTCTTACCTGGTGAGAAGTCGATGCAGGGCATGGCGCCTGCCAAGAAGAAGGCAAAGAGGCAGAAGGAGCAAAATGGCAGCTCGGCTGGAAGCCAAGAGAAGAGCTCCTCAAAAAGGGCGGGAAGACCAGTGACCGCCATCTTGCCTGGCCCAGCGCAGCCTCCTCCCCAACATGAGAGGGAAGCAGCGATCCTGCCGACGTCGGGAGACCCGCAAGCCGAGGCCCTATCTCCCCCCGCGCTTGCTTGACCTCCGGTGTCGACGCAGGGCAGGGGGCTAAACCTCTCGCCGCCGTCTCTCTCTTTCTCCTCTCCTGACTTGAGGGCTTCTCTGAGCATGCGCGATGCACTGATCGCCGAGGCAGTACAGCTTTCGGAACCTTCTAGAAGATAAAATAGACATTTTAGCCCCCGGCTAGCCCCGCCCACCCCCCTCGAGTATATATAGCCCATGGGCAGGGCTAGCCACCAGTTCTCTTCCGCCGCAAAGCAGCCAGAAGGCGGGGCATGACACTCGAGGGGAGGTCGGGCGGGGATGTGCGAATTCACAGGTGACTACTCAGGAAAGAGTAGATGGAAATTCCTATTTGTTGGGTATACCCAATTGAGTACACTCAATTCTTCTCCATGGTCTCTATGAATTGCACACGTGGAGTTATCTTGCACAGAATACCACTCTGAACTTTCTAGAGCTCATTGAAACTCGCTGGCAGTAGCCCCGCCCACTTTCCATGTCCTATATATGGGTACAACTCAGCAAATTCCCAGTTCCTTTATGTCTGCCACAGCAGCAGCATGTAAGAATTTCTTCTTCTCTCGGTGCCTGACTTCTCACTTTTGGTTTTACAATCATCAGACACCATTTGTTGACTATTTGCCATCTATCTGAAACCTTTGATCTTGGGCTGACTGTCCTCTTATCTGACGCCCCAACCTTGGCTTCCTCTTTAGTCACTGTTTCTCTTGCTGTTACGACCTCTGCCTCCTCCTTCAGTAATTGCTTGGAATGTGGAGGGAAGATTCCCAGCAGACATTCCCATGCAAAATACATCCACTTCCTTGGCAAATTATACGTGGTTTAAATGTACCACCATTACCAGGCTTTCAAACTGCAGGGAAGCTTACCTAAAGACTTTCTGTACGAGTCTGTTTTGAGGGTACCTGGATAGTCACTAACCAAAGAGCTGGGTTGTTGTAGTTTTTTCGGGCTATATGGCCATGGTATAGCCCGAAAAAACTACAACAACCCAGTGATTCCGGCCATGAAAGCCTTCGACAAACCAAAGAGCTGACAAAAATGTCCATTCCATCCACCATCTCAGAGCTGCTGGTTTAACTCTGGACTTCCTTGGTCCATAGGTGTCAACAGTCTTCTCAAAAGCTTCATCACTTTCAGGTCCCATACAGGTGTCATTGGTGCCTCCACCTTCTGCCTTGTCATTTTGTCTGACGATAAGGAGATTTCTACTAGATGGCTCCATCTCACAGGCTAAGACAGCTCCATCACTTTGTAATGTTGTTTTGGTTCATGTAGAAATTTATATAAATGTAATGGATTAAATCAATAAATAGATAAAATTAAATAGGTAAAAATCTTTTAGTTGTAAATTAAGCACAATTGAACAAAAAATAAATATAAATAAACATAAACTAACATTTTCTTCTTTTTAGTTTGTAGCCTGTGTTGGAATGATAACCTGGAATTTCACAATTGAGAAGAGAAACATGGTTCTCCAAATTCTTGTCTTCATTTTCCTGTACAGTTCACTTTACAGTACTTTTTTGTGGACAGGTAGGTGTGAAATCATTTGTACCCATATAATAAATGAAAGCTTTCTTTTTTTGTATGAAGTACAGTGAGTACTGGTGTAATAAAGTAATTATTTAAAGAGAATCTAAAGGGAAATCTCTGGGTTTTAATATCTGCCCATCTGGTTTATTTCCATTTTGGTGGCCTTGAGCAAACCATTCTATCTTCCACCATCAGTCCCGTTTTCCATTGCAGAATGGCTGGCAATATGACTTAGTAGAAAAGATTGCTTAAATCAGTGGTTCTCAATCTGTGGATCCCCAGATGTTTTGGCCTTCAACTCTCAGAAATCCTAAGAGCTGATTAACTGGCTGAGATTTCTGGGAGTTGTAGGCCAAAACACCTGGGGACCCACAGGTTGAGAACCACTGGCTTAAGTATTATGCTAGGTCGTACTTTGAACATATGAAAGTGTTACAAAATATTATTTCATGTTGCACAAATACAATGGCTGTATTATTTTTAAAATTAAAAAATATCTTTTGAAAGATCAAACTAAACATCCATCATGCCATATGCCTTAGGCAAGCCTGTCCTCAGAATTGAGGCCCTAAGATCTCTTTTATGTCAGATCATTTTTCCATGGTCTACACCATGCACATGCAAACTTCAGCCCTCCAGGTGTTTTGAACTTCAACTCTCATAATTTCCTAATAGTTGGCAAGCTGGCTGGGATTTCTGCGAGTTAAAGTCCAAAACACTTGGAAGGCCGAAGTTTGCCCAGGCCTGGTCTAAACGTTCTAATATACTTTTGTATATGTTATTTTGTGATCTTGTGTAACTCGTGTTAGTTGCCATATATTAGAATCATAATGATTAAAGCATCCTTGTAAAAAAAGACTGCCATGTGATGTCCAGGGTCCAGAGACTCTGGGAATAGTTTATCTGAAACCACCTAATAGCTGAATTTGGAGCAGGAAGCCATTTTTCAGTGGAATCAGAGTTGGCAAAAAATACTAGCTATAACTCTATGTTCAATTAATTGCATATTTACGTACATAGGAATTTGGGAAAATCAGAAATTTTAATCAAACGAATATATTTTGTGTTCCATCCGTCAAAGTACTCTGGTGACGTAAATGGTGCTGATGAAAGCATTGTGCCACCATTTTACTATTGTAAATTTGTTACTACTAATTGATATACATTTCCCGTTTATGAAGAGGTCAAAGTTGGGCAGTAGAAAAATAGGGCAGTTGGGAGGCAGAGTTAAAGGTTTGGTATATGATTTTGTTTGTTTGTTTGTTTGTTTGTTTGTTTGTTTATTTATGGCATTTCTACCCTGCCTTTCTCACCCCGGAGGGGACTCAAGACGGCTTTACATACAAGCAACAATTCAATGCTCTAAAATACAATGTACACTTAAATAAATATTAAAATAGAATTTAGAAGTACATTAAAATAATTAAAACATTTAAAAACAATACATTTAGAGTTGAGCATGTAATCCACGAACGTAATCCGGGCCATTCCAATGGTCATTGCACATTGTTCCAAGCCTATCTATTGCACAAGTTCTTTAAAAGCTTGGTCACAAAGCCACGTTTTCACTCTCTTGCGGAAGGTCAGAAGGGAGGGGGCTGATCAAACATCACTGGGGAGGGAGTTCCACAGTCGAGGGGCTACCACAGAGATTGACTCCTCCCAGTGACTATAAATGGATGCAATGAGATACAAACTGGTAATTTTATAAATCGTGGTTCTGTCTCTTAGCTGCTTTGCTGCCAGCTTCTTTATTTAATTGGGTTTTCTGTCATCTGGCTGGAATATATTGCAGATATCAGAAATCTGGGTTTCTGCAATAAGGATAGAACCACTGTTCAGTAGTAGAGCGCATACAGTAAATGACACGGAGAAGACCCTGGCGTAATCATGGGTAAAAGGGCTGAGAAGAGTCTTATTTGAAATTCCAGAGAACTGTCATTGTAGAGTATGGCTAATATGGAGCTGGATGAATGAATTGGCAAATCCTAAATATGGCAACTGCTGTTGCCCCATCACCATCACCACTGCTATTTACATCGCCAGCATGCTTACTGTACGATCTTATTTGAGTAAGCATGAGGGATTTTGGGGGGAAACTTGCTTTCAAAAAAAAAAAGATGTCAACCAAACATGTCCATTTATTTCATTAGGTCTCTTATCTCTGTCTCTGCTACTTTTGAAAAGAAGAGAAGCCAAAAAGATCCCTGTTGGATTTATCATTATAGCTGGCTGGGGGTAAGTTTGCAGAGTTTCTGTACTAAGAGAACATGCAAGAAGTGATAAACTAATGTTCGATATGGTTTATGTTGTCTTTTACTTACTGTAGCATCCCAGCAATTCTTGTTGGAATCCTGCTAATAGCTGGTAACCACACTGATGATATTGACTCAGCATTTTTTTATGGAAATTACCAGGTATGGATATTGCTCTGAAAGTTGTCTTTCTACATATCACTGTTTTGGAACCCTACGTGCTGTTTCTGTGTATATTTCTATGTATTACATCTGCACTGTTATGAGGAAAGTGTTAAATGCATTTTGAAAAGAACGAGGTCATGACAGTGACATTGTGTCTCTGAACTCATAAAGAATTTTCTAAGATCCGGATCTTTTACAAACATGTAAGAATTTGGGAATGTCAGTAGAGTGGTGAGGTTGATATAATCTTTTCAGTTTGTGAATTTTTGAGTATAATATCAACTGCCACATTTGATTTATCAGTTTAGAGAAATCAGAGGAGGGGTAGCAGATGAATACATAAGGTTTTAATATATATTTTTATGTGTCAGGAGCGACTTGAGAAACTACAAGTCACTTCTGGTGTGAGAGAATTGGCCGTCTGCAAGGTTTTAATAAAGCTAAGCCAGGCTAGCATGGGAATGAAACATGGGCTGCTCTAGGATGGAAGGTGTGCCCATCACTTGTCTTGTACAACTCTCCTGTGACATGTAAAGAACCTAGTGATGCTGTTGAAAGGCCATAATATGTCCTTCCTATGCAACAGGGTTTTACATATGCACATACTTAAGAAACTAATTGTTGCTTGCTTTTTTGCACACCACAGCTCTCAGTTTGGCTGATAACACTTGGGTATGTTAAGATTTATAAATCAGTAAGCTACACATTACCATAAAAGCAAGCAAAATAGAGTAAAATATTCAAATGTAGACAGCAGCGTGTTTAAAAATCCAGCTGCAGCTTCCAAGGACTTTGCAGAAGATAAAGTCAGGTGTGCTTGCTTGGGAAGGAAAATCTATAGGAAAAGTACCAACACTGGAACTTGCAATTAATGCACTTCAGTTGTTTATATAGGATTGAAGTGTTTTATTCTCATATAGAATGGCATTTTCCTAGCATTTGAACTTTACTTTTCAGCCTCTTTCTTGGTACAGGTTGAGCATCCCTCATCTGGAATCCTGAAATTCTCCAAAATCCATAATTGTCTACATGTTGAGATAATAGCACCTTGGCCTTCTGATAATTCAATGTACACAAACTTTGTTTCATGCACAAAATTGTTAAAAATACCATGGCTGATAACACTTGGGTATGTTAAGATTACCTAAGATTACCAGCCAAAATTACCTTCAGGCTATGCATATAAGGTGTAATATGAGACATAAATATGTTCAGACTGGAGTTCCATCTTCAAGATTACCTTACTATGTATGTACATGCAAATACACATATTCCAGAATCCAAAATACTTCTAGCCCCAAGGATTTTGGATAAAGAATACTCATCATGTAGATGTAAAATAGCCTTTCTATGAAGGGATAACAATTCTTCTATTCTACACATTCCTATTAATATGAGGACAGGATTTTGTAATTCCAGTGAAATATACAAAGCAATTGGATATATTACAAAAGGTGAGCAACATGATGTGATTTATGTATGGTTTTCAGTCAGGTGCCTTCAGGAGAGAAGGCAAAGAGAAAGGATTATGCCTGCAAAAAATGGACTTGACCAATGATAATGAGTGTATCTGTAAGATCTGGCGCAAAAGGCCTTGCTTAAGCAAAAGTAGAATTCATTTTATTCAGTGTCCAAGAAATGTACCAAAATAATTTTTCATGTGGTCAGTTGAATGTATTTTTAAATGACACATTAGGAATTGTAATTTCTGCCCTTCTCTCTCCTTCCCATGTGCACAGATGATTATCACAGCAGTTGTTGTAACCATCAGCATACTGATATCTGGGATATCACTCATGTGTATGAACAGATCAGGAGTGGAGGCCAACTATGTGGCTTTGAACCAGCATTCCCAACACAGGCAAACAGAAGAACCTGAAAGGGAAGTTAGTGAACAAAGTAGATCTTCAACAAGTGGTTCTCATTCTGTACTAGACTCTTCCACAGAAAGAGGTACGGTGAATGGCTATTTAAAACTTTGGGGCAGCGGGGGGAATCATTCTTTGTTGTTACTGTTTGCTAAAACCTGAACCAAACTGTTGCCTTTCATTGCTTCTCCTTGTATTTGCCATTGTCTGAAATGCAGTAGATTCCCTCAGGTGAAAGTAGGGTTGGCAGTGGGAAGTAGAGAGAGAGCATACGCAGCACAGATTGGATGTATATTAGAGCTTCTTAGCTATCTAAAGGACTTCCTGTGGTAGATCAGAGAATGTATCAGTGTTTGAACTACAAATGCAAGTATATGTAAAATATATGACTGTGTATGCATAGACAAAATTACTACCTGAATCACCATCACAAGTATATCTATATGTCCACTGTTAATTTGTCTTCTTTTTTAAAAAAAATTTGCCTAGTTTTTCTATAATATTATATGAGTGTATGATACTTTTGCCCACTATCTCTTTTTTTCCTTTGTAGAATCCTGTGCATGTCAAAAAGAGAATGAAGGCTTATGCTGTTCTGAAGGAGAAGCAGTATGTGGTACTAATGCTAATGATAACTGCTCTGTATCAATTGAGACAGGTACAGTGCTTTTCTGGTCTAGTATGATATTCAGTATAACTTAAAATTAGTATAATAAATACTTTTATTTTGCCAAAGACATTTTCACAGGGAGACCTAGGCTTCAGTCCAAACTGCAATCCATTATCTGTCCTTTCCACTAATTAGCATCTTTCTCAAACTAATTATGGGAGTGGGGAGTATATCTAGAAATCAGTAGTATGACAACATCTCTGGACCTGCCCCGGTTTGCATGGATCCCACGTTTCTTTTTTTTCTTTTTTCTTTTTTTTGCTTCTTAGGGTTATTTCTTTCTCATAAACATATACAAAAGACAAAACTAAGCAATAGACAGGCAAAACTAAGCAATAGTTCAGGCAGGCTTCCTAGGCCGCCTGCTGTCCACAATGCCATGGCAGATACTCCTTGTGACTGTTTAAAAATGTTTTTGCTGCCATCTAGTGATAGATGGAAACATTCCTAAATTGTATGGTTCCTGGATTTTATTTTATTTTTTGCAAACAAGATGCTTTAATTTCCTTCCTGTATTATCATTTGTTCTTCTGGAATTTGGTATCAGAAAGAGCCAAAAATGTTAATACATTGATCTTCATCTTTGAAAGGCTAGACTATGTAAAGAAATTGTTTTTGTTTAGAAATGCTTCTGCTCTAACTGGAAATTTAACTGTAGAATTAAAAGTCTATTCTAGAGAACTATTTTAAAAACCTCCCTGTTCTAAACTTTTTTAGTGATAACATCTGCTAAGGGTGGTATAGGTTTCATTAATTACATTGTCTGTTAAAACTCAGGTTTCTCCTCTGGAACCAAGCTTCGGAAATAGTACCTTGTAATTGAAAGACTGGGGAAACTGTGGTGTTTGCCTCAGTGCTTCAAAAAACGAAATAGTACTACTAAAAATTAGTGTTTCCTTTTCAGATTATTAAGCAGAACAGTGCTGCTTTGTTTTTCAGCAAATCAGTGTTTGAGTCCATGTAGTTCTCAGAGGTGTGTTTTGGCTCAGGAAGAACAGCTTCTGCAAATTGGAGACCAACAGCTGACTAGACATGTGTTACTATGCCTGCTTCTCATTGTGGGCCTTTTTGCTGTAAGTATTTCACTTGAGGGATGGGTTGGGCTGTGGGAAAAGGCAAGAAAAAAAAGTTTCTATTCTGTTCCCATAACAGTATGTATGCATGTGTGTTCGTGTGTGTGTACACTTCCGAATCAGCAACATGGCAGTGCAAAAATTGGCAGACTGGCATGAAAAGAGAAGCTGGATAGTTGCAAACTGATGTATGGCATTCTTAAAACATTTATTTGTCAGAATAGAGCTATAGCCCTATTACAACATTTATGATCTATTTTTTAAGAATTAATGTATTTTATTTATTTATTTGTTTGTTTGTTTGTTTGTTTGCCACACTTATATCCCACCCTTCTTGACCCCAAAGGGAACTCAGGGCAGCCTTACAAAGGCAACAATTAGATGCTGGTTGTACAGATATAATCAATAAACAAACAAAAACATTAAAACCAACCAGTTAAAACATCGTATTAAAACAACAATTTAAAATCACATAATCCAGGTCATAATCCAGGGCCAGTCCGAGTTGTCAATGTTAATTTATAATCTCTCATTGCACTCTTATAGTACTGAAACAACATTTATGATCCATTACTTACATATGTCGAAAGGGTTAGTTCTTCCTTTAAGGATCATCCTGATAAAAAAAAATCTGCATTTCTCAGTGCATATAAGGTACCACTTACACATTCATCCTAAAATCATCAATATTTCTAAAACAATGTTATTTCTAAAGTAGTAAAACAAGTATAGTAACTTGCCCCAGTCCTACTTTTAATGGAAAGACTGTAGTTAGTGGTAAAATCACAATTTGCACATGAAATGTCCGAGATTCAGTCCCTAACATTTCCAGGTAAGTCTAGAAAGAATTTCATGTGATGTGCTATTGCCTATTGTGGGCATGAAGGGTCTCCAAATAGCGTTAAACTGTATTTCCCAGCATTTCTTGCCAATGGCTAAGATGCCTAAAGGTGCATCTACAATGTAGAATTAATGCAGTTTGGCACCACTTTAACTTCCATGACTCAGTGCTGTGGGATCATTGGAGTTGTAGTTTTACAAAGTCTTTTTCCTTCTCTGTCAAAGAATGCTGGTGCCTCGCCAAACTACAAATACCAAGATTCCATAGCATTGAGCCATGGCAGTTATGGTAGTGTCAAACTGCATTAGTTCTACAGTATAGATGTACCCTAAGGTTTCTGGAAATCCAACAAGATCCGGAAGGTGGCACAGTTCCCTCTACTGCTATATAAAATACATAACTGGAAGGACCAGTGGTTTGGCTTGGTATAAAACAACTTCCTGTTTACCTTACTTAAATCTTTGACATAATGGTATTTTATAAGCCTCTTGCATGTAGTGATGGCTGAATTACTGCTCTGAGTCCCTCAGGGAGATAAGGCAGGACATAAATAAAATTGTCGTTGTTATTGTTGTTATTATTGTTATTATTATTACCAGCATAATGATATTGACACTTCTATTGAGACACAGGGATGGGACTAATGATAATTGCTACCATAATTTTTATGCTTCCATGCATTTAACAATAATACACAGCATTAAAATATATTTTTTTTCACAGAATCTAGCCAGCTGTTTGTGGTGGTTGTTCAATCAAGAACCTGGAAGACTCTATGTCGAATTGCAGTTCTTTTGTGCTGTATTTAATTTTGGTCAGGTAGTTATTAATGCTGAACTAATGTTATATCCTATCTTTTTTGAGAGTATGTGCCACTGAAGTTGATTAAAAACACATACAAAGATTTGGATTTGTTTGCAAGGAAAAGTGAGATTAATTTTTTTATCTGTTGCTTATCTTGAATTTGATAAAACCTATATCAAAATCATTCATACTTCTTATTAGACACAGTTGTTAGACTTCATGAGGCATTTAGTTGCTTTTGGAGGAGCAAGGAATCTGTACTTTTTTGGAATTAATTTTAGAACTAATTGGAGATTCCAAAATTGGTACAAAGGTAGCCCAACATACAGTGCATTGCAGTTAACATAGCAGTTATGCGGCCCTGTCTTCACAACCACCCGTTACTGAATTGTGTTCATTCTGCTCCCCTTCTGGGTTCTCTCAGTTTTTACCTATATGTTAGATATGATTATATTGAAAAGTATACAGCATTTTCGAAAGAAACATAGTTTTGCTTCGAAGACAGGAATCATGTGGTCCTCCAGAAATGGTTAAACTTCAGCTCTCAACATTCCCCAACGTTGAGTATGCTTGCTAGAACTGCTGAGAGTTGAAACTCAACATTTAGAGGACCATGTAGTTCCCACCTTTGTCTTAAACATTACCTTAAAAGATCGCTTCATATGTTGTATTAGAGAAGGTAATTGAGGAAAAATAATTTTGTTCTTGGCTTTGACAGCATTGAAACACTACTAAGAGTGTGTGCTTAGCAAATGTCTCATTTGTTAGGTTTTGTTTCTGGAAAATCATTTTTCCAGTTACTGTGTATTTAAAATGCAATGTTACAAAAGTTATTAAAAGTAAGTTTGTTTTATCTTTGCATTAAAATTAGATGAACTCCAAATATTATGGGGAGGATTATTCTGTACTGTTGATCCTTTTTCTTTTCTTTCTCAGGGATTCATTTCATTTGGAATTTTTGGCCTCGATAAACATTTAATTATTCTTCCATTCAAGAGAAGGTAATTTTCAACATAAATATCTAAGTATGTTATTGGTAGTGGTCTTATAAACTAAATCTTACCAGTATTCTTCCTCACCATTCTATCATCTACTCCAGAACTTTTTGAACTGACTGTCGTGGCATATCCACAATTTTTTTTCTCCTGTGTGCAGGGACCAATACCTTAAGTGTGCCATATTATTATTGTATTTGTATAGTCTTGGAAGTTCTGTGCAGTTTGGCAGCTAATGGCCCATACAGCACCACTTTGGGCCACACTGATATGCTCATCCATGCTTCTCTCTTAGTCATTTTGAATAGAGGCCACAACTTTATATGTCTGGATACTGAGAAGCATCAGTAAATAAACAAATGTAACTGTGTTAACACATTCTAGGTTTATTCAAGTAACCATTGGTGCAGTTGGTATTTATATGTCTTGGGGTGCACATATGCATTTTTGTGTGCATACACACATACAGAAGTGTAAATAAATAAACACTTTGATCATAGACATTCCTTACCGTTGAGAACTGAGATACATTATCATTTGGCACCTATATGTAATGTGCAAAGAATATCCATACACAGTTCTGAGTTCTGGGATTTGCACAAGTTTATTCACCACAACTCACTGTTGTCTCTGTCGATAATAAAAACCAGCTATTTTCTCTTATTAGAGACTGCAGCAGCGTTCAGCAACCAGCAATGCTTTCGTTTATTTTAAAGCCAGTAGAGATATCTTGATGAAAATGTTATTATTGTTGTTGTTGTATGGCTTCAAATTATTTTTTTACTAATAGCATCAACAACAAAAGATATTCTAATGAAGAAGTTGCATAGAACTTAATTTCATAATAAGTAAAAGAGGGAAGCACTGCAGAGTGTCAGGATGTGATTGCTTACCCGTTTAAAATCCTAGATGGGTCCCTCTTTTTGTGTGGGTATTTTAGAGAACTCTGATTTGATCTGTGCCATTGTTGCTCTTTTAAGAAAGAAATCAAAACACAAACCACTCCTGGCATTAGGAGAAAGACAAGCAACATTTCTAGTCAGATTAGATCATAGGAACAAACAAGTAGGTTTTCTTAACACACGTGCACTACAATCCCCAGTGTGCTATCTGTAGCATTACATGTACTGGGTTGGTAGCAAGAATTTAACTGATTTCCCCCAAAATGTAAATAATTGTTTTTTAGTATAAATAAAATTGGGATTTCTCTGCTAACTCAGAAGTTGTCCGGATTGAACACTAGAACATGTACAAATTGAATATTGACTTATATGATATAATTAGTTTTACAAAAACCCATAAAGCATCCCTATGCATGTGGTTCTCTTGATTTTATAGGTTTGGACCCAGACTTTCCTTCTGTGAACAGAAGCAAGTTTATATTCATGTAACGAGGCTGGCTTCTCATTCATTTCTTCATTCTCCCCTTCTCACATTCTCCATTCGTTTGTATACACTGCCTAACAATCTTTCCTGATGGTTGGGTGACACTCAAAAATGATATCATGTAGGGGTAGAAAAACTGACTGAAATGTTTAGTATAAGGTGCTCTATTTTGCCTTTCTTTTTCATCTGTGCTGTCATGTGTCTATTTTAAAATAGTTTTCCCCCTCACTAGATTTGAATTTTTTTGGGGAAGCAGAACAGTAGAACGCAGGGAATCATCTGTACCTGAGGAAATCCGAATGACGTGCCAACAGTTTGTTAATTACCACAAGGATACGTGTGTAAGGAGCATTGTCCAAGATAGAAGGTGAGGCTGTTTGTTAGTAGAAAGATTCATTTAAACCCTTGTTGGGTTGGGCGTAATGTTTATGTTGTGATGGAAATGTTTTCAAATAATGCTGAATGGACACACGAATAACCTGCTGATTTTTGGGTGGTTGGGAACTTAAGGTATGCATGGTCTTAAAGTAAAAGGATGGGAAACTCTGTTCGAGGTACTTCTGTGTTTGCATGCGAAGATACATGTTAACAGCCTGAAATCATTGGCTGTAGTTTTTAGTAAAGACCAGAAATAATGTTAACATTAAGCAGAAATACTAAACAGCTAATTAACATTCTTACTGGGTGGAGCCTAACCAGCCTTCCTACAAGTTCCTACAAGTTCCTGCTTCGTGGCATGTTCCATGCTTGTAGTCCTAAAATTATCAGTCTGTATTTATTTGAGGAGTCTCAGATTTCAAAAAATCATCATATCCTGGATACAGCATTGGTACTATCATTGTTGCTTTTGATGGGAGCGTAAGTTATGGTGGAGAGAATACTAAGCTATTAAAATGTTTTATTGTTCAATTAGAACAATATTTGCATTTTTTTTTACGTTTCTTGAATGAACAGTTTTGTCTTAAAAAGAATTGTTTATATTCAGAAACATTTGTTTTAAATATGTTTTTGTTGGGATGTGTTCATTGTAATCCTTTGTTTACTTCCACATTATGATATGCATTCTTTTGACCCCTCTTACCATTGTATTGTTCTAATGTTTTCTCTTCTTCTGTGTTGAACTCTGTGCTTCAGAACTTTTCTCTTTGTGATTCCAGCATTTTGTGTGTCCATTGCTTTGCTTCATTAATTCAGATTAACTTTTGCTTCTTATTTCAATTAAAATGCTAAGAAGTGTTGTGATTGTTTGCTGTCTTGTGTAGCCTCTGGTGGGCAGCTTGCTTTAAATCTAGAGTATTTTCTGCTAGATAGATTTTAGAATATTTGTTTTCTGTGAGACAGCATTTTTAAACACATTTTTGCATCACCATGTCAGTGGAAATAGAATGTAATCTTTTTCCAAATGCTATTCTTAGTATCTTGTATACTAATGAAATTTTGGAAGAATATGCAGGCTTATTTACTATTAGCATGCAGTAGTGGGGCGTATTCCATTTATACTTTAAAATCAGAAGCACTAAAAGACAGAATAGTCCTGTCATTCTTGGCACATTGTACTTAATGTAGTATTAATATGTAGAAGTCACTAAAAAGCCAACAACAACATTTTATATGGTGAGTGTAATATCTTAAAGAACCTTCCTACAATCCATCATCCCATCCCAGATGTAACATCTGCATGGCACTATCAGACATTTGCAGTGATGGTTTGTGGGCAGCTGTGCCAGTATGTATACTAGAGAATTGGCACAACAGTATAATGTTACTGCATGCTAGTACACTTATATTGCATGGAGCACAGCTTCATACAAAGGCTAATAGCAGCTTTATATAGAGCCTGTAGAATGCAATATCCAGCTTTTATTTGGATGACAACGTAGAGCAAGCCTCTTTAACCCGTGGATCTCAGGTGTTTTGGACTTCAGCTCCCAGAATTCCTGACCAAGCTGGATAGTGCTTTTGGGAGTTGGAGGGCCAAACACTTGGAGGGCCACAGATTGAAGAGGGCTGACCTAGAGGTTGCTGTGCTTGTGAATGTTTGGAATGCATAGTCTAAACACAGTTATAACTATTGCAATGGAGGGGGTACACCATACAATTGCTTTGCTCTAAATTCTTGTGCATTAATTACTTCATAATATACAGTACTTTGAGATCCTAACTAGTAGGTAGGGCAATGGAGCTGTCTTTGGCTTGTTTCACACCGGATTTCCGCTGAGAAACTGTATGCATAAGGGTTTTTTTCTCTTTCATATAATATATTTTTAAGAATTTAGAGCCTTTCACATGAGTTAAGTCAAAACTTTCTCTGTGACATACAGTTGTCCATATGCAACCAGCATGTTTATGCACAACCGCTTCTCTTTCGTCTTAAACATTTAGTTCAAGAATAGAAGTATAACATCCTCTACTGTTTTGTGAAAGCCAGGCCATAACCAGGCATGTTTGCATGTGTCACTGAGTCCCCACGGGGAGATAGGGCAGGACAAAAATAAAGATGATGATGATGATGATGATGATGATTATTGAGATTTTGAAGGTTATGATTTAGATCAATCTTCTTTTCCAACTCATAAGGAAAAGGGATGGAAGGAGAATTCCATTTGTGGACTTCCTCCTCAAACAGTCTTGCTGGTAAAACAAGAGGACACAGTCTTTGTTGATTCTCTTTCCTTTGCAGCCCCAAATACTATCTCCCCATTGCTCCCAAAGTAGACTGGGAGGGAAACATAAGGGACCAGGACAGGAGGAAAGCAGTGATTTCCCCTCCCCTCCTCTTTTCCACCTATGGGACTCTTCTATTGGTTCATAAGCTCCATACTGATGGCAGGAGTAAATCTATCTATGGAAGGCAGAACTTGGATACAATCTGTGATTACACTGTGTAACACAATATTTGATCCTGGGTTATAAATGTTGTTTCCTAATTGGTTCTATCATAAAAACATGGAACATTTTATTAAACTGCGAAAACTTGCTTTTTGCGGGACATCCTGCAGCACATTGGACTAGTTTTTCAATGAATAATTTCATAGAGTCTCAGTCAATTCAACGTAGTTTGTGGCAGCCACAAAAATGAAGTTTCTGGAGTATAACAACTACTTTCAAAGTAAGTACCACACAATTAAACAGAAATAACACTTTCAAACCAGGAACATAATTTTTTTCCCAAATTTTGTTACCTAGTGTTATAAATGTGGAATCAGTGGGCTGTTACTATTACTAATATTAATCTATATAATGAATTGTGATCTTGTGCATGTCCAAGCTTAAGTAGACTTAATCTTTCAATCAGAGTTAGAGAAGAAAGCAGTCCAAATTTACTCTCCAAAAAACTTTTAATATGCACATGACTAATATGGCCTTCTTTTAACATACTCTTAACTATCATGCTGTCTTTCCTTGTTTCCTCTCTATTTCTTTTCTTTGCCTTCACCCATCAAACAGTGGTGGTGCAAGATTTAGAGAACATGTGGGTGAATCCTTCCTTTGACATGCAGGTGTGGCACAAAGACGGTGACTGGGGTCTTCTTTGGCTGCGACCTGGTGGACTGGCTCATTGAAGTGGGGCTTGCCTCAGACCGTGGGGAGGCTGTGGCCTACGGAGAAAGACTCGTGCAAGGAGGCGTCATCCAGCATATTACGAATGAATTCGAGTTTCGGGATGAGCAGCTGCACTACCGTTTTCTACCTAGGAGATCTCTAAGAAAAGAGAGCCATCACAATGAGGAAGCGCTTAGAAGCTAGCCAAAGAGAGTATGTTTAGGCTCTTCACTGACACGTGAAGACATATTTTAAAATGGTGTCTTCACAGTTATAAGGTGGCTCTGTCTGTCTTCCACCCAAAGAGAATTATGATGTCTCATGTTTTGAATGCTGACTAACAGAAGTCACTTCAGGGAATTAAATCATGGTACAAAGGTACAAAATACTCAGCTTTGTTTTTGGAAAGAACAATTGTTTCAAAATATAGTTTTTTTGCCTATGAAAACATCAGGCTTGTAGAATCTGTTGTACCTTCTCTTCAGTTTAATTCTAATTTTGTATGATGTCTTGCACTAGTTAAAAGGAAGACGGACAGCTATTACAATGTTTTGGTACCATCTCTTCACTTTTGAAGATTATATTCTCTTATTTATATGGACATTACAACTGTGAAGATTGGCATGTTGGTTCATCACAGCTGAGAAATTGTGAGATGATTTTTGCTGTTAGTAGTTCCCCTGTGAGTAAGCCAGAATTTTTTAAAAGCAGCTTGTAGTTCCAGTAGTGCCAGACCTCTTGTATCCTGGTGAGGTCATAGTGCAGGGCTTGTTGCCCAAATAGGTTTTGTTTTCCAGAAGATTCACTTTCATAATTTTTTCTTAAAATAAATTGGCTTATAACTACTGAAAATTAATATAAACTCAAACTACTAATAGAGTCTGGCTTTGTTGACCTCTCTGAAGTTGTGGTTAACTTTGTTCCTCTTAATTAGACCTACAGCCTATTATAAGAGAAAACCAAATACTTGAATTTTATTTGACTACTACTTTAATTATGCAACTTAACAAATTCTGATATTTTTAAACATTATAATACAGATTTTAGAAACAGGTCATAGGTTTATTCATTGGTAAAATGCAACCAGATGCCAATAATCTCCTGCCCCTTCCATATTTTTTAATCTTTAGATTTTCTTTGTTACATAAAAAAAATGAATCATGAAGCATTTTTTCCTGTTCTTTTTTAAACTTTTAAGCTGACATTGAAGAATAGAAATTGACCATCTTGTTTACATTTGTGAAATAGGAGAATTTTGAACACTGTCCAAAGATTTATTTATTAATCACCATGTTTACGGAAAATAACAGTTTCTTATGACTACTGCTTCATTCATCATGAGCACTCCCCATCTAATTAATTTCTTATCCAGTGGCTGGCAGGAATGTTCTATTTTTATAGAGGTATGGATAATATTAGGAGGAAAAAACAATCTTCTTTAACGCAAGGCTGTTACTTCCTAGTCTTAGAAGCACATCCTGGCAGGCTAAATAACATGTCAGTAGCCATAATAAGCATGTACTGTAACATGCATGGGAATTGTAAAAAAAAACAAAAAAAAAACATTTTTGTTGTGAGACTGGCAGTCCATGCACTCATGAACTGCCACATTGACAAATCCTTCTGTGTTGTATGAAAACAAGCCTATGCTTATCTTCCGTGGTGAAGAAAACTTATTTTAAACTGATGTTTTAATCTGAAATGCAGCTGAAATGGAATAAATATTGCTGTTACATTTCTGAGATAATCATGTTTCTGTCTAACTTGAGAAGAAAATTACAGGCAAATGTGTTTTGGAAGTAGTTAATATTTCTGCATTCTTGGGTATTTCAGTTTCTCAATAAAATCAGCTGTTCTATCTTGTAATCTTTGCTTCTTTATTTTCAGACTTGAAACATTTTTGCCTAGCCATAAAGGATCAACACAACATACTCCATGAAGTGGCTTAAATTTGGAATGCTAAATCCAAGTGATTTGGGGTTACTATTACTGTATATACTCAAGTATAAGCCTAGTTTTTCAGCCCTTTTTTAGGCTGAAAAAGTCCCCTACAGCTTATACTTGAGTCAAGGTTATTTATTATTTTCCTCTGTTATTATTTTTATTACATTTATAATTTTACTCTCTTATTATTACATTTATTTTTTTACTCTATTATTACATTTATTATTTTACTCTATTATTGTTATTAAATTTATTATTTTACGGTATTATTCCTGGTATTATTACATTTCCATTATTTTATTCTATTATTATTATTATTATTATTACATTTATTATTTTACGATATTATTATTGGAAGGACACGTAAGCACATTTACATTGAAGAAGGTTAGAATAGTGGTTTAATGTTGGGCAGTCTTATCTTAAATTAGTTTTATGTAAATATTTAATCTACTGATGCCTCAGTTAATGTAATTTTATTGGTATCTATTTTTATTTTGAAATTTACCAGTAGATGCTGCATTTCCCGTCCTCGGCTTATATTCGGGTCAGCTTATACTCGAGTATATATGGTAAATGCTTTTTTACATGTTCACCCAGTAATCATTACCAGAGTTAGGCATACTTTAAATCTTCTCTAAGCAAGTGTCCTCCAGACATTTTAAGCTGCAGCTGCCATCAGCCATACTTGAGCTGAAGTTCAAAATAGGCTGGAAAAGGCTCTTGAAAGTTTCATATCAAGGGCCTTCACTCTTCCAGATTTTTGGGGTGGTATCTTCCATTATTATTATTATATTATTATAATAATTATTAATTTGTTCCCTGCTTCTCCTAATTGCTTTAAACGAGGTGCAACAAATTCCAAACAATAGTTCAGCATTTGCAATTCTAGCTCCAGAAGTCTACCACTTCCACTTGGATGGTGCCAAGGCAATGCTACTGTATGAGAATACACGTTTCTCTAGTTCTGGACCATTTATCCACTATGTTGATACATTTTATTCAGTATCAAGGAGCATGCTGCTCTCAGTCTGCATAATTAGACTAATTCCAGTGTTCTTAACACTACAATGGATACACTTCACGATTAAAACATTTGGTATCAATGCAATAGCTAGTACTCCTTAAAAGAAATTTTAGCTGCAAATTTGTAAATGACTGAAATATTATCATCCTTCAGCTTATTAAGCCATTCTGATTTCTCTTCTATGTGAAAAGGATTAGGTATAAATGTGTTGGTATAATAATGTTCCTGTATGCATATTGCAATTCAAGTACCAGTAATTAGTATTTACACATTACGTAAATCCTTTACAAGGTTCCAACCATTATTTTTAACTCTTGTTGAAGTTAGTAGAACCCAAGCTTTATATTCACTATTTGTGTCCTGTATTTTTCAGTACAATTTGTTGTCTCCACAGAAATGGGGGGGGGGGGGGGGGTTGTCACTAATTCCTGGTGGCTGAGAAACCTTTATTGACTTTTTACCAATGATAATATGGGTAGCAGCAAAAATATCCTGTTTAAATTACAGCCATGATTATGTTGTGGCTGTGATCACATCTATCATGCTTCCTTTTAATTTCTGGGACTTTTTAAAGCAGATTATGAGAAACAGCTAAATAAATAATATAATCAAAAGTCAATGAAGTGAAACGTCAGTAATATCCTGGTGTACACAGAATCTTCATTACTGTCAAAATAGCAAGAATTTCTTTATGGTATTTTGTGTTGTTTCTTATATTCTGTCACTATTTTTGGTCACAGTTCACAGTGGAGGATACACAAGTCTTACTAAACTGATGGCAGGCTAATATTTTAAGACCTGCTAGGTACAGTATCAGCTACCCAGTTGTAGGCTTATAATAATACATGTTATAATACAAGTTAGACTTACATGACAATATTCATATATGTAATAGGATTGATGGGCAGTGTGAAAAACTGCTTATAGCAAAAGTAATTGCTGGATAGCAGGCTGCATGGAAAAACCTCATTAGCTAAGAATGCAGGCCTATCTTGTTTTTTAAAAAATACATATAATTTTATTAGTGGAAATATTTAGTACAATATCATAAAATAGGAATAGTAAGGGGAAGAGAGTGGGATTTTAGGATAGAAGTAGAGAACAACTATCACCTATTTTGGGGGAGGGGGTATTTATAGGGATATAGGGAACAATAAAGATATGGGAAGGAAAGGGGGAAAGGGGGGGAGTTTGTTGACCTCCAGTCATCATCATGGTTAAAAAAAGTCTTTATTTTGTTGATTTCCACTTCCTTACTTCATCCTTTTCCCAAGTGTAAACAGTTTTTCTCTTTATCTTTGTAATACTATATTTTCATTTTCTCTTGTTTCAAATAGTCTTTGAAGGTGACCAATCTGTTATTTTTGGGTCCTACTTTGGTGATTAGTTAGTAACTGAGTCAGGTTGTCCATACTTATTTTGGCTATTGTCAAGAGCTATTCATCTACTGATTGAACTTCTCCAATTTATTGCATAATTATACTAGCTGCTGTCACTAAGTAATTTAACAAGATATCTTTGTTTTTATCTATGTCCATTATATCCATTAGGATTTTTTTCCGGTTTCAATTGAATTTTTATTTCCAATATTTTCTTAATTCTTTCTTGTATTTTCTTCCAGTAGTTATTATTTTACAAGTCCACCACATGTGGTAGAAGGTACCCACATGTGCTTCACATTTCCAGCATTTATCCTGCATGCTTTTATAACATTTTGTCAACTTTTGGAGGGGTTATATATCACTGGTACATCATTTTGTACCAGTTCTCTTTCAGGTCATATGCATATGAATACTTGTGATTCTATATTCTTTTGCAGTCCTCCATCTTGATTGTGTGTCCAATGTTGGCTGCCCATTTAACCATGCAATCTTTCACTTACTCAGTTTCTGTCAACCACTCTAGTAATTTCTTTTAATTTTTTTGTGATCACTTTCTTTTCTGTTAATATTCTTTTATCCCATGAGGATTCTTTTTCTAAGAATCCTGTTTTCTTATCTTATTTTGACTGTGTTATGGGTTCTATTTTGAGAGCAAAACTAACTCAAGGTTTTCCCATGTGAAAGCAGAGAGTGGGACTGGGAAGATGTATTGACCAATAAAGGAGAAGACAGCAAAAACGTAATATATTTATTACATTTTTATTAATGGGAGAGCAATGCACAAAATATTTGTTAAATCTTATTTAAGTTTTTAATATGCCTGCTTTAAACTTTTATACAGAAATTATGCTTCATGCTGCTTCAATCTCAAATATAAATAGAATTAACTAGAGAGGATATTGTCACCTTTAGATCTGAAATATTACTATATAATTAAACCATCAAAGTGAAAGCTGAGATCTCCCCCCTCTCCAAGTAGTATATTCACAGTAACATTTTCTCAGAGTCGTTGAGGAAAAAAAAAAAAGCCCTTCGGGGCTGAGAGCGGCGGTTAACAAATGCAAGAAATAAATAAATAAAATAAATAAATAAACTTGCCTTTGGTATAACAGCTGGAATCCACTTGGGCAATTATGAATGCATAGCTGCTCCAGTAGTCTCATGCGTTTGTATGGAATTGCTCAGTTTCATTTTGTTTCATTCGTTTGGCCCCGTTTTTGTTTGACACCTCCGAAAACGGGGGGCCTATCTGAATGGGCATTTCATTCTGCATCCAAAAGAACGAAATGTTTGGACCGTCAGTGGCCATGGGCGGGCTCCCCAGGCTCCCGTCATTTTTAGGGCTAGAGGGGTGAAAATCGCTACACATAGAGGGCATGCTGGCCACATTTAGCCCACCAAGTTTTAAAACATTTGGGTCATCGCCCAAATTTTAGGGATTTTCTTTCTTTCTAGAAAGAAACCCTTTAAACCATTCCCTCTTTCCTCTGCTGGCCCTGCCCTCTAACTTCTCCAGCAGCAGCAGGAGAGAGGCAGGGCACCATTTCTTCCTCCCAAATGTCAAAGATGCTCCACACGCCACACACACTGCCCGGTACCTAACCCCACTATTTCCCTTCTTAATTAAAAAAAAATATAACAACAGCAAGCAACTTCTTCAAAAGCTTTTGCAGCAGGAGCAACAAGCATTAGCAAGTATTGTCCCCTTATTTTACAAACACTGATCTTCTGGGGACAAAAAGAAACCTTTTTCAAAATGTATTTTGTGAATTCTAGCCATGATTGGAGGTTTAAACAGACATGTTTCTGCCAGCCCAGCCTACCATGTCATGTCTTAGTGATTCACAGCAGGTCAGACATCAACATTGATTCAGAATATTGTGGGGCAACACAGAGCTTGAAGACAAGGGGAGAAGCATGAGTTCAGCTCAGTGGTGGAGTGGTTGGCTGGCCACCTCACCCCACAAAGTGCCACTCAGTCATTCTCCAACAGAAGCAAAGGGTGACCCCCTGACTAAGGCTCCATGAGCCAGAGGCATCCTAAGATTTTAAAGTATTATTAAAGCAAATGGAAGAAAGCAGCTAGCAAAGAGATCTCCTTCTCCCCAAAGCCCCATGTGCGCCACTCAGCACCCAAACCCACCCCCAGCCCTTTTAAACTCCCAGATCGTTTAAAGAAAAACAAAGAAATAAAAATAAAGAAAGCAAAAAGATGCCAAGCTAAGGCAAAAAAAAAACAACCCAAAAAATCTTTCCCTGCTGGCTGGCAGCAAGGCAACTTAGGCAAGGAAGGCAAGCAACCACTGGCAGGCAGGAGAGAGCAGCAGCAGCAGCAGCAACGGGCCAGAACCAACGACACTCCCACAATAGGCACCTTGGGGGCAGTCATCCAATTAAATAGCCTGGTGACATCAGTTTTCTTGGCCTCTGATTGGCCCAAACACCACCACCTCATCCTCAGAGGTATATAGGACTCCCTGGGCCACGTGAGGAAAGCCACACGGCCCAAAAACCAAACAAATGGTTACCGTGCAACTTTCTTTTTTGTGTCACCCGTTCTTTCATTCAAGGGGTCTTTCATTTTATGCCATCCAAATGAATGGTATGAAATGAAAGAAACATATGAGACAAATACCAGTCCCATGACTATGCTCTAGTTCTGTTGCTATGCAGTGACTGCTAATCTGCCTTCCAACTCCCAATCTTCACTACTGGGCAGCCACCACTGCAGCCAGTGAGGATCTGTTCCCTTGTTGATCAGGAAGCATCTCACTAATGTTTCCACTCCTATGAGTGATCTTTGATGCAACATGCAGAAGGACCATAATCACAATATCTCCTCTTGCCAGAACTTGCTCACAGAAGTGGAACTGTTAGCTGTTTCCAGGCAGCAAGAGAAAAATACCCCTGCACCCTTCACAGAAGCTACTGCTCGGTAATTGGGTATTGGGACTTTCACAGTCCCTAAGAATCCCCTAAACTACAGAATAAATGCACATGTACACATGTCTTCATGTTGCCTGTTGACTTATGGCGAACCCATGAATTACATAAGGTTTTCTTAAGCAAGGAACATTTGGTAGTTTTGCCAGTTCCTTCCTCTGAAATATAAACTACAGCACCTGGTATTCATTGGTACTAAACAGCACTGACACTGCTTAGCTTCCAAGATCAGATGGGAGCTGGTGTCCTTAGGAGTATTTAGGCAGACTAGTAGATACCCAGGGATCATTAATTTGAACATGTCGTAAATAACTGCAGGTTAACTGTAGATTAAGGATTCATATCTGACCTGGTGAATTCCAGCCAATATTTTTTTAAGTATTTAGAAAATATAAGTGCTTTAGTGCAACTGGGAAGACTACAGCAGTTTCACACAATTTCACAGTGCAATTAAAAGTCTGAAAATACTGTCTGGAATACATTGTGCAAATGCAAAAACATAACATCCAGTGACATATTCACAACTGCTACATATCCATGATCGTACACAACTCCTCATTTACCAATAAATGTGCAAAAACTAAAATTGCTTTGAGAAACAAGCAGTTGAGAGTGAAACCAAGCAACTGCAAAAGTTCATTAGGCATATGCAGAGATTTCTTCTTCCGTGCAGTTAGAAAAAAGATGAACTACTTGATCAGCATCAAGATGTCCATTCTGTAGAATAGTCTCCATTTGGCTAATCTTCTCTTTTTCCAATTTTTGGATCTTTTCTTTGATGATTTTACCCTTCTCCTACAGAAAAGACATTTTAAAATAACGACAACTCTTGCTGATAAAATCAACATATCCAAAAATAACTGTACATTAACAACCCATCCATCTCTGAGGTGCAGATTCCTTACACAATAGATATTCCTGGATAAGCCAAGGGCAGGACTTGGGGGCAAAATTATGGATTTTGACATGACCCATGAGTAGGTGAAGGGTAAAACTTAGGGATATGTTACAAAGGATGCAAAACATGTAATTTTTTCTATTTTAAAATACTGTATTAACAACTGGTTGAATTGTATGCTTATGCCTGGATTAAACTGATGCATGTAAGTTGAACATCTCTTATCAACAAATAAAAAAAATCAGAAAATCTCCAAACCCCCTTTTTGCCACTAGAGGCAAAATACTGCTCTTCAAAGAATGGTCAAAAAGGATTGAGGCGGTGTTTTGTCTCTGTGATGTGAGAACAGGCATTTGGTACCATTTTATTAGGGTTAACTAGGTACTCACATACTTCTATAACATGCATATTACCATATTTACTCAAGTCTAATGCAACATAGAATGTAATGCACACCTCAATTTTCAAAACAGCATACTTGATGGGGGAAATTATTAGAAAGCAACGCCAATCAGATCCTTGACCCTTTTTTAAGCGCCCCATACTACTTTTCTTGCTGGTGCCATTTATCCTGCTCTCAACTCCTGGATGCTAACAGGAAAAGTAGCATACTGAGCATGCAAGTGCATGCCCAAGTGATGTTATTAAACAGTACCAGCAATATTAAATATACTACTAAAGGCCACCTTGTTTAAAGCCAGTAACTAGATACATGTACCACAAAGAGTTAACTGGCTTTGCCAGAGGTTATTAATCATGGTATCCTCTTGACCTTTCAAGAAATGTGTGACTGAAAAGTTAAATAATCTCTTCATCCAAAAACTGAACTATAAAGTATGTAATCCTTCTATAGGTAAAGTTACTTGCATAAATTCTTGCAGAGTTTTATCTTGAGGTTAACACACTTCACACTATACAGCTCTGACTTAATTCAACATACCGTAGAGGATTCTATTAAGTGAACTGCACTTTCGTGTTTTTTGTAGAGTTCATGTCTTCTGTCTGGCTTAGTTTGGAAGCGTGGTTGCTGTTTAACGGGATCCTCAGGACCAAATACTGGAGAACTTGTTTTTAGTAGCTGATTAATATTTGGCACAAATATAAAAGGTTTAAAGGCAGACCTAGAGAGTAAAATAAAACATGTAAAATGAAAATGACCACATGTGCACATATTGCCTGTACCTTTTTTTTTTAAAAAAAAACCCTCATCCAAGCCAACTGGACATTTTAATTCATCAGAGATATGTGCTGCGATAGATTTCGTACTTCATGTTATACTTCCTTAAGTGTTATAAACAATGTTTTAAATAAATAAATAAAATTGCCCTTGAGATTTAGCCATCAAATCTATCTATATGTACTCATATACAAGTCGACCTCATTCATAAGTTAAGAGAAGGTTTCGGAGCCAAAGTGATGGAATGTAATATAACCCACGGATAAGCCGAGAGTCATTCTGATGAGATGGAAAAGTGCCAATGTTGCCCCGGGGGCTTGTCAGTTCTGGTGCCAACACCATCATTGTCCCATCCAGACATTCAGAAAGGCCTTTGATTAATCTGCCCAGAGAGGGGATGGTTCTTTTCTTTTTTATATAAAAGGTAAGTTACAGTATTCACTCTCATTTTAAAAGGTATCATCCCCCATTCTGAGTAGAATGGCAAAAGGGGAGATCTTAGTCCATGTCCTGTAGAATCACTGGTGGCTCCAGAGCAGCCCTACAGCATCACTGGTCACCTGGTAGCCAGAAGAGAAGAGTGCACGCACTGCTGCCGCCACCAGAACTAGAGGAGGAGTCGGATTTTGTTTTCATGACAGTTTATCCATATTACCTCTCGGGGTCTGGCGTTCCAGTGAAGAAATGTATGCAAGGGAGGTTCTGATCTTGCGGTATTATGGAAACCATGCTTCCAGTAGTCATAAAGCTACCTTCCATATTAATGCCACTCTCCTTATCTCGAAGGATTGCCATCATGGTCTCAGCTGTTATATGCCCTATGAAGAGAAAACAGCATGTATTTTCACAGAAAAGTGTTTTCACTTACATTATATCTACATATATTAAAATCACACAACTAACACTTATTCAAAACCCATTTACAAACTTGTTCTAAACAATGTGATAATTACAATAGGAATAGCAGAAAAACAGCCAGGCCATTATACTGTTTAAATATGAAACATCAATTTCTTAAAAGAAAATAACACTGAAACTTGTTTTAAACTCCACAAGATTTTCTTCAGGGAAATCTTGCATTGTTACAAGGACACTTTTCTATATAAACTACCCTTTTCAGATAATATGTAGGGTTTATCTATCTAGCATTCTGTTTTCAAAACGTTTTGCTCGACTGGTACACAAGCAAAGCACGAGGAAGTGTAGACAGAGGGGAAAAGAGCTCATCACTAAGAGACACACAGTGAAAAAAAGCTTGAGTTTACATATGATTTTGGAATACACAAATCTCTGACTAAATCCCTCTCTTTCTTTCAACACACAGACTTAGTTTTCCAATTTAGATTTCCAACTTTCCCCCCATAAATTTCTAATGCTCCATGACCATTTGAAAATAACAATCTTAATATTAAAAATAAATCCTCTACACCAATTTTTGAAGATTTCTTTTTAACAACCAAAAGTAAAATCTGCAGAGACTAGTGTCTTACAATGATTTCCTTCAGGTATGGGGAAAACACTTAAACAGTATCAGCCTGATAACTTGAACACCTGGTGAGACTTAAAACAACTGAGGTAAGTACCAGAAAAATGGGGATTTACAATGTATCTGATAGAACCTCAACAAAGCCTTTGCATTGCACAGGTATTAAAAATGTTCAGTATTCAGAACCTACAATTCCCCAAATGAGTGTAGGATTTGCATGATCACAAGGGTATTATAGCTGTACGTAATCCAGTAGGAAGTACAAAATAGCTGCAGCAATTTTGGGTGACGGGGCTCAGAATGAAAACTGAAACACAGGGGTGCAATTTTATTTGGCTTTAATTTTCCTCCCAATGTGTATGTGGTTTTTTATGCAATTTTGATATCCATATAGTAAGAGAATAATGCAAAGTTAAGAGCTGCTGTAAGAATCAGATGCTGGAAGTGTTCAAAGGATAGTGTACTTCTTCTTTAGAGCCTATATTGCTATATCCCTGTTCTAAGGCCAGGGCCCTCAAAGTTTGATGAGAGACAAACAGTAACTATTGGGAAATAAGAACCAAACTCACTCAGTTACCGTGTAAAGTTTGAGACAAAATACTGAAGACCTGTGGAAATAATATCATAAGACTATTGAGTGAGGGACAGTATATATATATTCAATCTTAGAGATTAAGTCTCTTTGTTATAACACAGTGGTTCTCAACCTGTGGGTCCCCAGGTGTTTTGGCCTACAATTCCCAGAAATCCCAGCCAGTTTATTTACCAGCTGTTAGGATTTCTGGGAGTTGAAGGCCAAGACATCCAGTGACCCACAGGTTGAGAACCACTGCTATAACAGGACACACAGGATCCAGCCATACTGACAATCATAAAATAGTCACAGAGGTTTAATTTAGAAATACATAACCTTCAAAATGAAAAAGGGGGGGAAAGCAAAACCTTTTAAACTCTATCTCTCCAGTAACTCATAAAATCTGCACATTACCAATAGTTGTATATTATAGAGAGAGAAGTCTTAGCCGATTATCTATACCTACAAATGTAGTCTCGTGATTTAAGAAAGGTACCTTCGTATTCTTTTAGAAGCTTATAGCCTTCACAATATCTGCCTCTTGTGGTAGTCATCCTGGCAGTATTTACATATGAGTAAGTGGCAGCAAAATCAAATTCTTTTTTGCCATTCCACCAGCCTTGGCTGGTAGCATAACTCCTGACTCCAGGATGTTCACGATCAATTTTGGTTGTTATTGAAAGCTGGTTGGAAATATTCCTTACTCCTTCTGTTGAAAAATGTGAAACCAATTCAAATGTTAAAATAAGGTTCTTCACAGCACAGAATTGGCTAAAAATATTTAGTTAGGTTTCTAGATTACACCAACAGATATTAGGAAGCACATTAAGTCCAACTACATGGATTTATGTGTCACTTGCTTGTTGTTCTCTGCCTTTCTTTCTATCTAGAAAACTTATAGCAAGTGATATTATCAAGTGTAGGGAACAGAATTGTGCAAGATTATTATAAAGCAGAAACATAATTACAGTCATAACAATAATTTATCTTAGGAAAATTATAGTTATCACAAATTTGGGGCAGGAACTTCAGATTCCTACTGAACTTCAGCTTCTAGCATTTCTCACAACTATAATAACTAAGGCTACAGGGATTTGAAGTCCAACAACGGCTGCTATCCTGTATGGTTCAATGTAGTGTGGTAGTTCCACATGAGACAGTATGTTAGGCCTATACACGTTAAGTACCACTGCAATTCTGAAATCCAAGATTTTCCACCTGTGTGGCTAAGATAGTGATATATTTGCTCTCTGCTGTTTCAATGTACAGAAACTTTGTTTCATGCACAAAATTATCAAATACAGGCACCCCCAAGTTATGAACATCCATCTTACAAACGACTTATAGTTAAGAACGGGGTGAGACAACATGAAGTGAAAGAGAGCAACCCCTGGGAAGGGAAATTCACTCCTGAAATAATCACAAGGAAAAGGTGTCTCCACTGAAGCTTTATCATCAATCCTTGTTTCCGCAACAAGCCAATTTTTTAAAAATCCAATGATCAGAGGGACAGAAACTGAAGTGAAATCTTCTGAAACAAACACCACAGGGGTGTCAATCATTACCTGTGCCATCCAAAGCGAATATGTGTATATATTAATTTGGAGTTTCACTTAAAAAATGAATCTGCTCCGACTTGCATAGAAATTCAACTTAAGAACAAACCTATAGAGCAGTGTTTCTCAACCTGGGGGTTGGGACCCCTGGAGGCGTTGCAAGGGCATGTCAGAGGGGTCGACAAAGACCATCAGATAACACATTATTTTCTGTTGGTCATAGGGGTTCTGTTTGGGAAGTTTGGCCCAATTCTCTTGTTGGTGGGGTTCAGAATGCACTTGGATTGTAGACGAACTATACATCCCAGCAACTACAACTCCCAAATGTCAAGGTCTATTTTCCTCAAGCTCCACCAGTGTTCACATTCAGCCATATTGAGTATTCGTGCCAAGTTTCATCCGGATACACCATTGTTTGAGTCCACAGTGCTCTCTGGATGTAGGTGAACTACAACTCCAAAACTCAAGGTCAATGCCCACCAAACCCTCTCAGTATTTTCTGTTGGTCATGGGAGTTCTGTATGCCAAGTGCGGTTCAATTCCATCGTTAATGGAGTTCAGAATGCTCTTGATTGTAGGTGAATTATAAATCCCAGCAACTACAACTGCCAAATGACAAAATCAGCCCCCCCCCCAACCCACCAGTATTCAAAAATGTGGGTGTATTGGGTATTTGTGCCAATTTTGCTCCAGTGAATGAAAATATATCCTGCATATCAGATATTTGCATTACAATTCATAACAGTGGCAAAATGACAGTTATGAAGTAGCAACGAAATTATGTTATGGTTGGGGGTCACCACAACATGCGAACTGTGTTAAGGGGTTGCAGCATTAGGAAAGTTGAGAAACACTGCTATAGAGCCTAGCTTGTTTGGAACTTGGGGATGGCCTGTACACGGTGTATGTAATTACCTTTGAGTTATGTGTATAAAGTATGCATGAAACATTCATGAAATCTGTTTATAGACCTAGGTCCCATCTCCAAGATATCTTATTGTGTATATCTAAGTATTTCAAAATTTTAAAAATCTAAAATACAGAACACTGTTCAAGTATGTTGGAGAAGGGATACTCAGCCGGCATACACACAAAGATGTACTGAAAAGCCTATGAAATTTCCCTGCATGGGTATTATGTGTGTTCCTAACAGAATGCCAGTCAATATCTAGAGTGCTGCCTTTGAACTTAAATGGCAGTCAATATATTTTGGCCAATTCTGAAATCAAACTCACATCTACTGTATATATATTTTGTTTGAAATAGCTAAAAGTGAGAACTGGAGGATGCAATGGGAAAAGAAAGATGGGAGATTCAAGCAATGGCCATGGCCAAGGGAATGTAAATCAGCATGAGAAGCAACATCCTCACTATAATTTTCCATCAGTTTAACCTTGTTTATTCAGTCTGTACTACCCAAAGCAATTCCTAGTAAAAATATAACCATGTATAGAGAAGTGGTCCTGCTTTCCATGAAACCACAGTAGCAGCAATTACACCACTTTAATCAACGCAGATACATGTTCAAGCATAACAAGACAATTGCATTTGAAGTTATAAATGCATATCTAATAAACAGAGTTGAATTTGAGTTTAGGTGAGTAATAATACCTCCTATTTTTTCTGCAGCCCAGTACTTTCTGGAAGTTTCCAATACCCAAGCCTCTTTTCTGTCTGCTATTAGAAAACTATTATAGTATGAAAATGCCATGTGACTCTCCATGCAGTTTCCACCTTGGCCATATTTATCCAGCAAGTCAACAATGACAGTGACAGCTTTTTCTGCTGTATCAGCTCTTTCAAGACCAAGCCTAAAATCAAATCAACATGTTAGCTTTCTGTAAGAATCTATTCTTAAATCCTTTAAAACAACTCTGAATTTAATCACAGTTACAATGAGGTATAAATCAGACACAATTATTCTATCAAATATATGTATATCTCATGTCCTGTAACAAGACTCACCACAACTACTGTCCAAAAAGGGGGGAGGGGGTATCAAAAAAAGAATTACATATACAACATACCATCCCTGTATCCAGTTGCCATGTATCTAACATTCGTACATGTGCCAAAAAATAAAATAAAAGCCTGTATTATAAAATGTGTTGGAGTGCATTATGCTGGCAAATTTTTATGTAGAGGGTTAAGTGAAGCAGAAGCTTCTTCCAAGAAAGATGAATGGATAGAGGTGACAAGATTTTGGGGCATGTGACTGTTTGCCTGGGAAAAGGCCTGACCTCAATCCTGGGAGTCAAAGGGGCATTTCTTTCAGTTCTAATGCCAAGAGCAATGGCAGCCCTCCCTAATAAATATTGCTATGGGGGAAAAAATCCCATGATAAAGTCACCATTAGTTGAGAATATCCCAAAGGAACATAAAAACAAACATCAGTAAATGAGTACTCTTATCTAGAAATCCCAAATGCTGCAAATGCCAAAATTGCCCACATGAGTGTCTGAGATAAGTGACACTTTTGCTTTTGGATGGTTAATGTACAAACTTTGTTTCATATACTAAATTACTAAAACTATTAGGCATGAAATTAACTTCTAATTTCATGTATAAAGTATGTATGAATTTCACATTTAGACTTCTGCTCAATCTCCAAGATATTCTTTTATGAATATGTAAATGTTCCAAAATCTGAAAAACATCCAAAATATGGAACACTTCTGGTCCCAAGCATTTTGGACAAGGGATACTCAAGCCTATATATAGAACAGAGGGAACATCTATAATCACAATGCAGGATGCTAGGTTTCCACTGCAGAGAGATATTACACAAAATACTGGAAAAACAAAACACTGTGAGTTTGGGGTGTTTTAAATATTTCTATTAAAATTAAGCAGAATGTTCCCATTTATTGCTTATGTAATGAACAATTACAGTGCCATCTTTACAAGATACTAAGAATATTCATAATATCCGGACTATGAAAAAGTTGTATATCCATTTGGCTATGAACAATCAAGTTCTGTTTCCCACTTTCTGCATATTATGAAAAACCAAGAACACGTAACCAAATCTTCTCCAAACCTGACAAGGTCCATGCCTAGGAGTGCTTCCTCATCGTGGACTTCTTCTTTCCCCCACACTGCTTCATTTCCAATGCAAACTCCATGCTCATTGGCCCCCATCTCAGCACCCCACAACCATGATGGACGACTCAGGACAACTGCATATGTTTCTGGCACTTGCTCAATTTCAATGTAAGTACACTGCAAGAAAGATAATTCTGTAACATACATCCCACCAGCCTTTTGGAATGTAACAACACTCTGCACAAGAAGGGTGCCTCACTGTGGTGGTGGGAAATAGCAGACAGGGTTTAGAAAGTCAGGGTAACCTGAAACTCTTTCCTTTTTATGCAAACTATCCTGCCTCTGCTCTGTGAAATAGACTGATATTCTCAGGATCTTTCTCTAACTCTTCTCATTCCAGACTTCTCTCTCTACCTTCCTAGAGTGTAGACAGATTTAGATTATGCCCCGTTACCTCTCCTATCTACACTGGAGTTCCAGTAAAAGATTAACTTCAATCCTCTAACTACCGATGCACTCACTGTTTAATGGCCATCTCTCTCACCCACACAGCTGCCGAATCTTTTCATTTTGCTAACACAGATGAGTTTTAATTCATGCACCAGCTAGTAATTTTCCTTGGGCATAAAATATTTGTCTCATCATTTCATCCTTTAGACAGACAGCAAAAACATTGTGACATTATTTTATAATCTTCCTAGACACTGATGCTTTAGAAAGATTTTGTTCCTACCTCAACTTTTTCTCCTGGGCTGTGAGTTGCAGCAGGGAAGTACACAATCTCCTGGACTTCATCAGAGGGTCTATCTGAGTTCTTACCAAAGATGATCCTATTGCCAATTGTGGCAGGAGGCAGAGCCACAAAAGTATCACAGGAAGAGGGTTCAAGGCTCCTGAAAGCCATTCTGGAATATAATGAATACAACAAACAGCTACAATTTTGTCAGTATGACACAATGATAATGGTAAATTTCTATTATGTTATTAGTTCTATGAAAAATAAAATAGGTTAGATTCTCAATTTTGGATTGTTACACAATCAAAATCTGCAGTATAAATAATGTGGAATGCATACACAAAATATGTGAGCAGGTCTATGTACTGCAGGTGTGTCACTCCATTTAAGATTGTCTGGGGAGGCCCTGCTCTTGATCCCGCCTGCCTTGCAAGTGCGATTGGCAGAGGCGAAGGACAGGGCCTTCTCAGTGATGGCCCCTCGGCTATGGAACTCCCTCCCCAGAGGTATTAGATCGGCCTCCTCCTTCCTGACATTACGGAAAAAAAGTCAAGACCTGGCTCTTTGAGCAAGCTTTTGAGAATGCAGCGGAATAGATAAAACAGAACTATGAATGATGAACATGGAATGGCCAGACGATGTTACTGGATAACATTTTTAACAAGATGACTATGATTATATGCTTTAACGGTTTTTAGTTATGTTTTATATTGTAATGTTGATTGTTTTTAATGGCACTTTTATGAATGCCTGACATCAAATTGTGCCAGTCTGTAACCTGCCTTGAGTTGCCGTACAGCTGAGAAAGGCGGCTACTACTGTAACGCCCTCTACATTGGCCTTCCTTTGTCAGTGATTCGGAAACCGAAGCTGCTGCAAAATGTGGCGGCTCGTCTTCTCGCAGGAGTGCCAGTGAGGTGTCGTATCATTCCAATTCTCCAACAGCTGCACTGGCTTCCGACTGAATACCGGATCACTTTCAAGGTGTTGGTACTAACCTTTAAGGCCTTACATGGTCTGGGGCCGGCGTACCTGAGGGCCCGCTTATGCCCCTACCAACCCCAGAGATTACTCCGGTCTGAAGACCAAAATTTGCTTGCAGTCCCTAACATCCGGGCCTATCATTTGTCATCTACTAGGCATAGAGCTTTCTCGATCATAGCCCCTTATTTATGGAATGCCTTGCCATTTGAAACTCGAACCATCTGAGGCCTACTTGCTTTTCGGAAAGCCTGTAAAACTTTTCTTTTCCGGCAAGCTTTTGACGGGTGAACAACCTGGACCATGCCTGTTCTTGCCGCCTATTGTTTTGTTACTGTTATTTTTTAAGCTAATTGTTTTGTTTTAATCTGCTTATGTAAACCGCTCCGAGCCAAATTGGGAGTAACGGTATAAAAATTAAATAAATAAATAAAGTAAATAAATAAATAAATTTGGGATCAGATCACATCCTGGGATATCAGGCCTGTCTGGAAAGCCCCGGAGTCCACATTGCCAAATATTCCTGTTCAAAGAAGAAAATGTGGGATTTTATTCTGCTGGGTGGAAGGGGCCTATGTTATCTGAGGGCCCTTCCAGACAGGCCCTATATTCCAGGATCTGATACCTGTTTTGCACTTTAATCTGGATTATGTGAGTCCACACTCCATATAATTTGGGATAAACAGAAAACTTGGGATCAGATCCTGGGATGAGTCCACATTGCCATATATTCCTACTGAAAGCAGAAAAGGCGGGATTTCATTCAGCTGTGTGGAAGAGGCCACAGATAACAGAGGCCAGAATATCAAGGCAGAAAATTATTATTATTATTATTAACTTTATTTGTACCCCGCTAGCATCTCCCAAAGGACTCGATGCGGCTTAAGGCCAAGGCCTCAAAACACAACATAACAATACACAACCTAAAGCAAATTAAAAACAGTTAAAGCAATATTAAACAAGCAATAAACAATACAACAGGACAATAAAAGTGGGCCGGGCCTGAGTAATGGGTACAGATAAAAGTGCTGATGTGATAGGTGATACGCAAGGATTATGGGGTAAGTGCAGTGTGCCAGCAATCTTAATTTCTAGTAAAGTGCTTCTGGGACTTGTTATTGGAGGATTCCTATTCTGGAAAGGCACATCGGAACAGCCAGGTCTTCAAGTTCTTTCTAATGACTGACAACATAGGGGCCTGTCTCAGATCTTTGGGGAGGGTGTTCCAGAGTCGGGGGGGGCACCACAGAAAAGGCCCTGTCTCACGTCCCCACCAGACACAACATCCCACAATATCTGCTTTGAAACGGGATACTGTGGGATTTCTTGCCTTGATATTCTGGGGTAGAGGGCTGTGTAGAAGGGCCCTGAGTTTACACTACCATATATTCCAGTTAAGGCAGATAATGTGGTATTTTCTGCCTTGATATTCTGGGATAGAGGGCTGTGTGGAAGGGCCCTGAGTTTACACTACCATATATTCCAAGATATTCTGGGCTAGAGGGCTGTGTGGAAGGACCCAGGATTATCTGAGGCCACAGTGCCATGCATTCCAGTTCAAAGCAGATCTTGTGGGATTTCCTGCCTTGATATTCTGGGATAGAGGGCTGTGTGGAAGGGCCCTCAGTGTTACAGCAAGTTCGGGGAAGATGGCGGCTGGGGGGCTCGAGCCAAGCCTTTCCATCATGGCGGCGGGTTACTACGTCACTCGCCTTCTCGCGCAGGGATTCGGCCTGCCGTGCTCTTCCCTCAGCCTCGCTTCAGCACCAACGCAGCTCCCCTCCGGAGACTTTGACGGGGCTGACGCAGACTGAGGAGGAGGAGGAGGAGGAGGAAGAGGGCGGGGCGAGCAAGCAGCCCTCCTTCCGCCCGCCCATTTCCGGAAGTTGCGTCACCACCCCGGAAGCTCCGGGTCAAGTCTTGGCTCCGGCGACTGTAAACACCGTCGGCCTCCTTCCCTCGGCCTCTGCTGCTCCCCTAGAAGTGCCGGCTCGCCGCCATCATGGGGAAGTCTTTCGCCAACTTCATGTGCAAGAAGGACTTCCACCCGGCCTCCAAGTCCAACATCAAGAAAGTGAGCGTCCTCTTCCTGCCCCCGCCCCTTTTCCTTCCCCCCTCAGAGGCAAGGCACCCCCTTTTCCCCATCCCGAGGGGACAAAACCCCCTTCAGGAGAATTATCGATTTCCCAAAATACCCTAAAGCAGGCATGGGCAAGCTTGGGCCCTCCCTCCAGGTGTTTTGGATTTCAACTCCTACAATTCCTAACAGCCGGTAGGCTGTTAGGAATTGTGGGAGTTGAAGTCCAAAACACCTGGAGGGAGGGCCGAAGTTGGCCCATGCCTGCCCTAAAGGCACTAGATCCCATGTGCTCCTGGAAAGCTAAGCAAGTCATCCCTGGTTAGTTCTTAAATGGGAAATCATCAATGGATATAAGGTGCCATAGGCTAAATTTCAAAGGAAGGAACCTGCAAAACCACCTCCTTAAAAAATACCTATGAAATTCAGGGGGTCATCCTCACCATGTGTTCACATTCATCTGGAGGGCAGGCTTCTACGCACAAGGATCATCCAGGGGTCTCCATATCCTAAAGCGGTGGTTCACGACCTGTGGGCCCCCAGCAGTTTTGGCCTAAGGTAAAGGTTTTCCCCTGACATGAAGTCCAGTCATGTCTGATGCTGGGGTGTGGTGCTCATCTCCATTTCTAAGCCAAAGAGCCGGCGTGAAATCCTTAGGAGAAATCCAAGAAAATAGCAAAAGCCTATCTGTGGTAGTGTCAGAATTATGACTTTTTTAGTCTGTCACTCAAATGGGTATCCAAACAACCATGATGTGCATATTTAAAGGTAACAGTTTCCCCTGACATTAAGTCTAGTTGTGTCAGACTCTGGGGGGTGGTGGTCATCTCCATTTCTAAGCCAAAGAGCCGGCGTTGTCCATAGACACCTCCAAGGTCATGTGGCCGGCATGACTGCATGGAGCACCGTTATCTTCCTGCCAGAGTCTATTGTTCAATTCACATTTGCATGTTTTCAAACTTCTAGGTTGGCAGAAGCTGGGCTAACAGCTCACGCCGCTCCCCGGATTCAAACCTGTGACCTTTCGGTCAACAAGCTCAGCAGCTCAGCGCTTTCACCCACGGTACCACCGGGCCTTCAACTCCCAGAAATCCCAGCTAGTTTAGTTGGCCTACAACTCCCAGAAATCCCAGCTAGTTTACCAGCTGTTAGGATTTCTGGGACTCGAAGGCCAAAACATCAGGGGACCCATAGGTTGAGAACCACTATCCATAAGGCACCAGATCATGGCATCTCTACATCCTCAGGATGATTTTATTTAAATCAATGTAGTAGCTTCTTCTTTGGCCCCAGTTCCCTGCTGACATTACCCAGAATCACCCAGTTGGAAATGGTGGAAGAGCCAATTGTACAGTATGTCTGCCTAAGTCAGTGGTTCTCAGCCTGTGAGTCCCCAGGTGTTTTGGCCTACAACTCTCAGAAATCTCAGTTAGTTTACCAGCTGTAAGGATTTCTGGGAATTGAAGGCCAAAACATCTGGAGACCCACAGGTTGAGAACCACTGGCCTAAGTATATGAAGAATTCCATGCATTTCAAGATATCCATCAAGTATTTCAAAGGGCAGTCAGCCAGATCTTAGCTGATTTTGGATGCTAAGCAGAGCCTGCCCTGATTAGCACTTGACCAATAAAAAGTAAGACCCATGGGCTATATTTCAGAGAATGAATCCAGCCAAATGGAGTATTATTTCCCTAAGAAAACCCTATGGAATTTATGGTGTTGTTACAAGTCAACAAGTGCACAGCTACTGGTTGTGGATTGATGGTTTATGCTTTTATGATGTTTTGTATATGTAGTTTATTATGTTATATTGTAACTGTTTGACTGGGCTTGGTCCCCATGTAAGGCGCCCTGAGTCCCTTTGGGGAGATGGTGGCAGGATACAAAAATAAAGTTTTTGTGTTGTTGTTGCTGTTTACAGATATGTTAAATAGCAGCAATCTCCTATAGATCTTTGGTTCAGTACTGGGATGACCAATCTGTGGGGCCAGTGGATGCATGCAAGTTAACACAGGACCCTTCCACGCAGCCATATAACCCAGAATATCAAGGCAGATAATCCACAATATGTGCTTTGAACTGGATTATCTGAATCTACACTGCCATATAATCCAGTTCAGTGTGGATTTTATACAGCTGTGTGGTAGGGGATGAAGTGTTTGAGAGCTATTCCTTTTAAACCTTCTTGTTCTTTACTTCCTTTCTTATTGTTGGGAAAGAAACATTATCCTCTTTGGTCCCTAATCAACAGCCAAACAAACTTTACTGCTAAGATAGGCTGGGCAATTGTCCGGCAGTAAGACAATGGAGTCTTGCTAAATATTGAATAGTATTAATAATTGTGTATTACAAATCCATAACTATGATATAGAATGCCATCCTTAATCTTTGTGACTTCTCTCAGTTCTTGTGGGTTTTTTCGGGCTATATGGCCATGTTCTAGAGGCATTTCTCCTGACGTTTCGCCTGCATCTATGGCAAGCATCCTCAGAGGTGAGGTCACCTCTGAGGATGCTTGCCATAGATGCAGGCGAAACGTCAGGAGAAATGCCTCTAGAACATGGCCATATAGCCCGAAAAAAACCCACAAGAACTGAGTGATTCCAGCCATAAAAGCCTTCGACAATACATTTGTGACTTCTATTTCACATACATCTTTAGAAGGTTTACTCTGAAGTATTGTGTAGCATACAGATGGGTGAGAGGACCTAAAGATATGGTCATTATTCTACTCAAAATTAATTTTCTTGTTAGTCATCTCTTACCATAAATGAGTCTACTAAGTTGTCTCACTTTTAGACTGCTTCTAAAAAAATTGGCTGGTATACTGGTAGTCTGAATATTATTTAAACTTTTTATGTGAATATATTTAGCAGTCTTTGCAAATGTCTAGATTGAAATATTTGAATTTAATCAGTTTACAACGTGGACTTCTGAAAACAAATTCAAATTTGTGTCTATTAGGTATGGATGGCGGAACAGAAAATATCTTACGACAAGAAGAAACAAGAAGAGTTAATGCAGCAGTACGTTAAGGAACAGGAATCTTATGACAACAGGTGATCTTTTTATCTAATGTTATGCTAAAGAAAAATATACTACAGTACTTTACTTTTAAGATATTTATTTGTTTGTTTGTTTTATATTCCACTCTTCTCACCCTTGCAGAGGACTCAGAGTGGCGTACAAAATGGCAAAATGTAATGCCACATATTCCACAACATAAAATCCAAAGCATCTAAGCAATAGACAATTAAAATACATAGATAGCATTAAACTGTTAACACATGATATCCCGCCCTGAGTCGTCATTTGTGTGCTACATTGTGCTGATTCCGCATTGCACTACCCAAACACCTGCTTCCAGAGTCTTCACTTTTTTTCCTGAAAGCCAGGAGAGGTGGGGCTAGTCTGATATCTTTAGTGAGGGAATTCCCTTATATACCTTGGCCAGGTCCATCTTAGAAATCCGGATATTGGTTTATGCTGAATGTGGTGTGATAGGGGTTCCAACTCTGTTTTATTTTGCCATGTTTAATGTGTTTTTATTTTGGTGTTGTATTTTATGATACTCCTCTTTTAATGTGTTTTATTTTATTGATTGCTTTGCTTTTATGTTTCTGTGGACATTTGTCCCACATGTAAGCTGAGATATGTTCGGACAGGTAAATTGGACCGGAGCCCTTTACAGCTTTATAGGCCAAAGCCAGCACTTTGAAATGTGCTCAGCAACAGACTGGCAGCCAGTGGAGCTGACGTAATGGGGGGGTGTCTTCAAAGACAGCCCCACGTAGAGCGTGTTGCAGTAGTCTATTTGAGATATAACAAGAGTGTAATAGACAACATTTTGAGGTTTCTCAATTCATTGTTAATTTTCCTTATTATGCATTTGTTTTTATAAAATATTTTACTCATATTTAAAGAGGAAAAAGTCAGACGGTGACCAGAAGCCTCAGTGATGTAGAACCATGTTGAAGAAAACAGTTCAAACCCACCCAGTTATCTTTTTGAAAACCTCTTCTTTTCATACCTTTCCCCTTTATATTTTAACTATGGTGAACTGCTGTGAGCAATGTATTCATGTTAGAACAGTGGTTCTCAACCTGGGGTCCTCAAATGTTTTTGACCTTCAACTCCCAGAAATCCTAACAGCTGGTAAACTGGCTGGGATTTCTGGGAGTTGTAGGCCAAAAATATCTGGGGACCCCAGGTTAAGAACCACTGTGTTAGAAGGATATGATGATAGAAATAGTCTTTAGATAATATCTTGTTGTCATTTTAAAAGAATATTTTCTAATCCCAGTAACTGCCAATGAATATCTTAAAATTGATAAGCTTATCTATCATAGTTTTTGAAAATAGCACTCCATAGTCTAGAGTCTAAACAAACTTTACCTCAGGAGTTTGCAGCTGTGATAATTCCGGTGGGTAATGTTTTTGTCCCAGGGTTTTGTGGGAGCCTCACAAACTGCCAAAAATGCCAAAAGTAAAGGGGAAAATTGGAAGCGACTGGACATCCACTGCTGTATTTACAGAATAGATGTAATAAAGTGGCCCCAATAGATTCCAGGATATACTTGGGATTAAATGACTAGTTGTTTTTCATAATTTGTTTGCATCAAAATCTTGATGTTTTGTTCAAAACATTGAAAACATAATTTTTAAATGCATTTTGGGTGAATATGTCCTAGTTGTGTTTCTGGTACTGAGCTGGTCAAGATTCTAATGTAACTGGTAAGTTTT